AGGTTGCCTTGTTGGAAAACAGAGGCTTTTCACCGTAGGGCTCGGATTTTAATCTGTTGACGACTAATTGTTGTTATGTTTGTGAGGAAATTATAGATCCATCGACCGACTTTTCTGATATTCCCCTGTAGCAGATTTGTTGTTTGCGCTTTACGCCATGGTCACCACTTGTTTCAAAAAGCTTTGCAAATTCTGTTTATATATTTACAATCTGCATTTATTTTTATTTCTTTAGTGCATTTAGGACCTTGTCGTAGTGGATCCAATAGTTGTGGACCGAACAGGAGCGACCTGTTCCTAACACAATGTTGCCCTGGGTTGTGTTAAATGATGGGTTTCTAGCATGGGTGGTGATTCTTGCTTCTTAGGACCTTTCACAGATTTTTATTTGATGATGGGATTGTTAGTGATCTCGGTCTGTAGGTCTTTTTTGTTTGTCATCGCTTTATGCCCCTTTGTGGAAGTGGGGGGCGATGGTCTGTTGTTTATTTTAGTAACTGTTGGGAGGACCACGTTGTTCCAGGCTCCCTTCCATTAGGATGGAAAAGGATCGTGATTGGTGCTTCTTGCAGTTCTTGATTGGAACACAGTGTTACCTTGGAGTTTGGCCCTGGGGCAAGTGTGATGGGCATGTCATTTATCGGCCTGTTCGAAGTCATTTGGCGTTAGGGATAACATCGGATTAGGTTGGGTTAGCCATATTTTGTGCTCTTCTTTCATAAAAAAAATTGTTTTTGATTCTTCGACTTCTCAGTTTCTGGTTGGCGGCTTAGGTAAAAAATGGAGTCATATTGGGGACTTGAGTTAGCTAACTACATTTCCGTCGCTTGTCATCTGTGTTATGGGACCCACTTTGTTGTAAGTTAGGGGCCCCAATTAACCTGGATGTTATGCTCGACTTTTGATTTGGCATTAGGGAGAAGAAGTACTTTGGGTTTTACTCTTCAATTTTCATTTGATGGGGCTTTTAGTTTTAAAGCGATTCCTGGAATCCTATAAGATTCCTGTAGCTTGAGTTCGATGATTGCTATTTTCTCAGACCGTGGTATCTCCTACGCATTTTTCCAGATATATTGACCTATTTTAGCACGATGTTATTCTGTTTCCGTCGCCTTTGTTAAAGGGGATCCCTGCTCTTTTTATGTTAAAATCTTTTTTTACTCCTCCTTTTTCTTAGAGGAATAAGGGCCTCGGGCATACATCGAGTTGCACAAAGTTTTAAATATGTTTTTGGTGCATACCGTTTGGATGTCAGTGTTGATTAGGTTTTGTTTATATCTTACCAGTTTATATCGGTTTAGGACTTGGTTTAACTTGGTCCCCACTTTATTGTTTTTGTTATTGAAGTTGGATTTGGTGAATGGCACCCGTTTGAAGTCTCATTATGTCGGTTGGGGCCCTTCACGCATACCATGTCCTGAACCTCAATTATTTGTTGTGAACTGAGTAATTTGTTTTTGATATGGGGGGTTGAAATTTTTCAGATTAATCATTGTTTACGTTGAAGAGGAGGGTCTAGTGTTATTCTCAAGTCTAGTAGGCTTCTAGTATTTGCTGGTATTTAAAATTGAATTTTTTGTGAGAGATTTTAAAAGCTCGTCAGTGTGAGTGTGAGTTTTTCATCAGAGTGCCTTTCTGGTGTTTATTTTCTTACTGCAAAACAATATTAGTTATATTCCTCCATTTAGGTGCCTTTTAAGTTGTATTTTTGATTACACAAGGAGCAAGGTGTTGGGTTTGCAGGAGCTGGGTAGATTTTTCTGACATAACAGTGGTCAATTTTTTACAGCTCTGTTTCCTGAATTGGCTGGGATGTTGCATCCGGAGGGGCTTTTGTTTGTTGACTACCACAATGACTAGGTTTTGGTTCTGACCTTTTACTGCTAAAAACTTTCCAATACCATAATTTGAGGCAATTTAGCAGAGTTCTGTGCCAACCAAGTGACTCTGAAATGTACAGGCCAACACCCCCTTTGGCTGTTAAATCAGTTACTTCTTGTTTTGGTTTGTAACCGGGGATCCATATTTCGTTGTTCCAAGTGTACATTTATGCTGGATGTCTAAGTGACAATTTTGCTTTCTTTTTTATCCACCTGTAGTTATACTGCAACCTCTTTGTTCTCCCCTTACCTTGTCTCTTTTCAGTTTAAAGTTTCCTTACGCCAGTTTCTGCAATGACTCCTTTCAGCTTTGAGTTGGTTTTCAGTGCTGCTAGTCACCCTTTTGCACCGAATGCAAATTTTTACGTAGCATTACATATGTTGAAAGTGATTTTAAAATATGGACAGGTTGATTTGATTTAAGACATATTTAGCCAGTTGGGTATATCTTTTTTTGTTGAAAGGGTTTTTTGCTTACACAGTAAGGCTTTCATCAGTCAAAAATCAGAGGAGAAGAAATATAGTGTAGAAACAAGCAGGAGTAGAAGCGAGGTTAATGATGATTTGTAATCAGTCCATCCATCTTTGGGAGAACTTATTTTTGAGGTGGTTTCAGTTTCCCTCAGCTTTGGGCGAATAGTTTTCATCTTTTATTTTTCTTGAGTCTTACTTTGCTCGTGTTTCTTTTAATTGAGACAAGGTTTGCTTGTTTTTGTTTCTTCGTATTATGTTGCTCATTTTGAACATCTATTAAAGCATTTGAAATTTGTAACAGTAACATGTTTATTTATCCATTTTTGCCATTGGAAGATTTTGTTAGATATCAGATTGCTAATTTTTTCTGTTTATTATCTACTGAAGTAAACTTTCCATTACTTGCATAGGATGATTAGGTATGAAAACTTTGAGGCTAGGTTTTTTTTTTTAATCATGTTGCATGGAGGTATGAGAACAGTATTATAAAGAGCCAGGAAACCAGGAAACTTAATAATGATATACATGCTCGCTGGATTATTTGAGTTTTTATAATTTTTTTATACAGTGGTTTTTTACTTTTGGGATATTTTGAAATTAATTTGTTCCAGCAGGCCTGTTCGAGTGTGATTGTAAAGTAGAGTATCCATTTAATGGACCAAAAATACACTTACAAACAGCACATATATAAATTACAATTAACATAATTGTTCGAGATGTTGGAGTTGTTTTCTTATCCGAGTTGCCACTGTATTTTTTTCATAAATTGGCTATATGAAGTTAAAAATATATTTCGGACTATATATTATAGTACAGCTAAAATATTGATAACATTTAACCTTATTGTTTCATTTGAAAAAAATTTATACATACATTTATCGGAATAAAATGTTGGATTACGCTATACATGTTGTTTAGCCCAAACTGGCTTTTTGACCCATGTTTGCACTCTGCCTTTTATAGTTGACCATTTTGGGACAACTTTTTTTTGTATTCCATAATGCTTCTCGATCTCGCTCTTTGCAATTTCTGCCTCCTCCCTAATTTGTATTCCTCTGCTGAACTGTTTATTTTTTCTTTCAGGGGCTTGGACTTTTTTCTGCCCTAACCATTAGGTAAAAAGATGGAATTGCTTCACCACCTCCAACTGGAGCTCCCAGTGCCTTTTATTGTAAGTTTCGAAGTTTATAAACAGTTTTTGCCATTGTGTTAAGAATCTCATCCAAGGTAAAAACTTTGGAAGCCTTATTAACATTTACAACTTGAACAAGATTTTTAAATTAGATTGTGGAATTAGGTTTAGCTTGGTGTGGATAATTCTTTGGTGTTGTGTATTTTATTCCAATGATAGTTATTGTTAGTGGTTTTTGCTTATTTATACCTGTTAATATTTTTTATAAATGTATGTGTATTTATATTCTTTACTGCCAAGACCGCACCAGAATTGATCACACTTGGGTTTTTGAAAGTACACTTAGCCTCGAAGCTATACAATGCCATATGGATTACGCTTGCTCTTCTTGGTACTCTGCCTTGACAAAAAAACTGAAAGATAGACTGCAAATCACCCAGAACAAAATCGTAAGATTCATCCTGGGGCTGGGACCAAGAGAACATGTAGGCCAGGAAGAATTACTGCAGTTGGATATGCTGAATGTTGAAGACAGAGTAAAACAACTGAAGCTAAATCATGTTTATAAAATTGCTCACAAACAGTGTCCAGAATATCTTGCTGTCAATTTTGTCAAGGTTGGGAACCAAAGCAATCATAGTACTAGGGGGAGAGAGCACAACTTTGTAGTACCCACAGTCAGTGGCCAGGCTTCAAACACCTTTTATTGTACAGCAATAAAGGAATGGAACAGACTGCCCGCACATGTCAAAGCCAGCCATAGCATGAACCAGTTCAAGAAGAGTGCCAAAAGGTGTTTGATGAATGTAGCTACAGAAAGGAGGGGAATGATTTTCTATTTTTTAGCTAACATACGTGTAAATTTTACCTTATTCCTAGTAATGACCCTCGTATTATAGATAGTCTTAATGACCCTCGTGTAGTAGATAGTCTTTTTAGTATGATAATAAGATGTTATCTTCATTGTAGAATAATAAGAAAATATTATAACCTTTATATTATAATAATAAGGTAAAAGGACCCCAATGGAAATAAGTCACTCTGTCTGACTTTTTTGGGTTATCCTAGGTTCTTACACATATGCTGCTATGTATGATAATTCTATGTAACTGTATTTGTGTATACCTGAATAAACTTACTTACACACGCTGAGGGTCCGGGTTCGATTTCCGGTGGAAACATTTGGCGTGTTTCCTTACACCTGTTGTCCATATTCAATAAAATAGGCACCTGAGTGTTAGTGGACTGGTGTGGGTCGCATCCCGGGACAAAATTGATCTAATTTGCCCGAAATGCTCTGCATAACAAGGGGTTTAGGCTGTTAGGTGACTTGGACCTGCCTAACATGGGCCAGTAGGCCTGCTGCAGTGCTCCTCCTCATGTTCTATAACTGTATCATTGATGTCAGCTAGGCCTGTATACCTTGTACTTTTAGAAATAAAGATATTATTACGTATTAAATAGGGAAACCGGGCTCGATACCGGTAAGCTGTGTCTGACCCTTATAAACCCAACAAGGAGTGAGTGCATAAAAAGAAGTAACAATAATTATTTCTTCAAGTACATGAACCCAGCTGGTTTAGCGCTTCTTTATAATATTAATAATAATAATAATGAACCCAGCAGTAGGCCTACTGTCTCATGTTAAGTAGGTCTAACTCGCTACTTCAAGTACCTGTCATGGTGATATATTTTCAAATGCTGTGTGTATCCCTGTTTAGTTATATACCTTTGAATAGTTTCGAGAGTTTGTCTACTCTCTGAGCCCGGCCATGGGCCAGGCTCGTCTGGTGATTGCCTGGTCAACCAGGCTGTTGCTGCTGGTGGCCCGCTGCCCCACATATCCATCACAGGCCCGGTGGCCTGGTGGCTAAAGCTCCCGCTTCACACACGGAGGGCCCGGGTTCGATTCCCGGCGGGTGGAAACATTCGACACGTTTCCTTACACCTGTTGTCCTGTTCACCTAGCAGCAAATAGGTACCTGGGTGTTAGTCGACTGGTGTGGGTCGCATCCTGGGGGACAAGATTAAGGACCCCAATGGAAATAAGTTAGACAGTCCTCGATGACGCACTGACTTTCTTGGGTTATCCTGGGTGGCTAACCCTCCGGGGTTAAAAATCCGAACGAAATCTTATCTTATCTTATCTGGCACCTAGTGAAGATGATAAATTAGACACATGTGCAACTCTTGTGTATCTTTATTGAGGAAACGTTTCGCCACACAGTGGCTTCATCAGTCCATACAAAGGAGAATCTTGAAGAACAGGAGAATGAGGTAATCAGTCCCTCAACCTTGAGTCGATGTGGTCAGTTTACCTAGAGTTTACCTGGAGAGAGTTCCGGGGGTCAACGCCCCCGCGGCCCGGTCTGTGACCAGGCCTCCTGGTGGATCAGAGCCTGATCAACCAGGCTGTTGCTGCTGGCTGCACGCAAACCAACGTACGAGCCACAGCCCGGCTGATCAGGAACTGACTTTAGGTGCTTGTCCAGTGCCAGCTTGAAGACTGCCAGGGGTCTGTTGGTAATCTCCCTTATGTGTGCTGGGAGGCAGTTGAACAGTCTCGGGGCCCTGACACTTATTGTATGGTCTCGTAACATGCTAGTGACACCCCTGCTTTTCATTGGGGGGATGGTGCATCGTCTGCCAAGTCTTTTGCTTTCGTAGTGAGTGATTTTCGTGTGCAAGTTCGGTACTAGTCCCTCTAGGATTTTCCAGGTGTATATAATCATGTATCTCTCCCGCCTGTGTTCCAGGGAATACAGGTTCAGGAACCTCAAGCGCTCCCAGTAATTGAGGTGTTTTATCTCCGTTATGCACGCCGTGAAAGTTCTCTGTACATTTTCTAGGTCAGCAATTTCACCTGCCTTGAAAGGTGCTGTTAGTGTGCAGCAACATTCCAGCCTAGATAGAACAAGTGACCTGAAGAGTGTCATCATGGGCTTGGCATCCCTCGTTTTGAAGGTTCTCATTATCCTTCCTGTCATTTTTCTAGCAGATGCGATTGATACAATGTTATGGTCCTTGAAGGTGAGATCCTCCGACATGATCACTCCCAGGTCTTTGACATTGGTGTTTCGCTCTATTTTGTGGCCAGAATTTGTTTTGTACTCTGATGAAGATTTAATTTCCTCGTGTTTACCATGTCTGAGTAATTGAAATTTCTCATCGTTGAACTTCATATTGTTTTCTGCAGCCCACTGAAAGATTCGGTTGATGTCCGCCTGGAGCCTTGCAGTGTCTGCAATGGAAGACACTGTCATGCAGATTCGGGTGTCATCTGCAAAGGAAGACACGGTGCTGTGGCTGACATCCTTGTCTATGTCGGATATGAGGATGAGGAACAAGATGGGAGCGAGTACTGTGCCTTGTGGAACAGAGCTTTTCAACCGTAGCTGCCTCGGACTTTACTCTGTTGACGACTACTGTGTTCTGTTAGTGAGGAAATTATAGATCCATCGACCGACTTTTCCTGTTATCCCTTTAGCACGCATTTTGTGCGCTATTACGCCATGGTCACACTTGTCAAAGGCTTTTGCAAAGTCTGTATATATTACATCTGCATTCTTTTTATCTTCTAGTGCATTTAGGACCTTGTCGTAGTGATCCAATAGTTGAGACAGACAGGAGCGACCTGTTCTAAACCCATGTTGCCCTGGGTTGTGTAACTGATGGGTTTCTAGATGGGTGGTGATCTTGCTTCTTAGGACCCTTTCAAAGATTTTTATGATATGGGATGTTAGTGCTATCGGTCTGTAGTTCTTTGATGTTGCTTTACTGCCCCCTTTGTGGAGTGGGGCTATGTCTGTTGTTTTTAGTAACTGTGGGACGACCCCCGTGTCCATGCTCCCTCTCCATAGGATGGAAAAGGCTCGTGATAGGGGCTTCTTGCAGTTCTTGATGAACACAGTGTTCCATGAGTCTGGCCCTGGGGCAGAGTGCATGGGCATGTCATTTATCGCCTGTTCGAAGTCATTTGGCGTCAGGATAACATCGGATAGGCTTGTGTTAACCAAATTTTGTGGCTCTCTCATAAAAAATTCGTTTTGATCTTCGACTCTCAGTCTGGTTAGCGGCTTGCTAAAAACTGAGTCATATTGGGACTTGAGTAGCTCACTCATTTCCTTGCTGTCATCTGTGTAGGACCCATCTTGTTTAAGTAGGGGCCCAATACTGGATGTTATTCTCGACTTTGATTTGGCATAGGAGAAGAAATACTTTGGGTTTCTTTCGATTTCATTTATGGCTTTTAGTTCTTCCCGCGATTCCTGACTCCTATAAGATTCCTTTAGCTTGAGTTCGATGCTTGCTATTTCTCTGACCAGTGTCTCCCTACGCATTTCAGATATATTGACCTCTTTTAGCCGCTGTTATTCTTTTCCGTCGCCTGTAAAGGGAGCGCCTGTCTCTTTCTATTTTACATCTACTCCTCCTTTTTCTTAGAGGAATAAGCCTCGTGCATACATCGAGTGCCACCAAGTTAATCTGTTTTAGGCATACGTTGGGGTCTGTGTTGCTTAGTATATCTTACCAGCTTATATCGGTTAGGACTTGGTTTACTTGGTCCCACTTTATGTTTTTGTTATTGAAGTTGAATTTGGTGAATGCTCCCTGGTGACTAGTCTCATTATGTCGGTCTGGGGCTCCACGCATACATGTCTGAACCTCAATTATGTTGTGATCTGAGTATATTGTTTTTGATATGGTGACATTTATCAGATCATCATTGTTAGTGAAGATGAGGTCTAGTGTATTCTCCAGTCTAGTAGGCTCTATTATTTGCTGGTTTAAATTGAATTTTGTGCAGAGATTTAAAAGCTCGTGTGAGTGTGAGTTTTCATCAGAGCTGCCTCCTGGTGTTATTACTGCAACAATATTAGTTATATTCCTCCATTTTAGGTGCCTTAAGTTGAAATCCCCCAGGAGCAAGATGTTGGGTGCAGGAGCTGGAAGATTTTCCAGACAGTGGTCAATTTTTAACAGCTGTTCCTGGAATTGCTGGGATGTTGCATCCGGAGGCTTGTAGACTACCACAATGACTAGGTTTTGGTTCTCGACCTTTACTGCTAAAACTTCCACTACATCATTTGAGGCATTTAGCAGTTCTGTGCAAACAAGTGACTCTGCAATGTACAGGCCAACCCCCCCCTTTTGCCTGTTCACTCTGTCACTTCTGTATAGGTTGTAACCTGGGATCCATATTTCGTTGTCCAAGTGACCCTTTATGTGGGTCTCAGTGACAATTTTTGCTCTCTCCACCTGTAGTACTGCAACCTCCTTTGTTACTCACCCTTACCTCTGTCTTCTTTCAGTTTAAAGTCTTACGCCAGTTCAGCAATGACTCCTTCAGCTGAGTTGGTCAGTGCTGTCACCCTTGCACCAGACATGCAACTTATCCATTGCATACATATGTTGAAAGTGATATAAAATACTGACAGGTTGATGATTAAGACATATTCAGCAGTTGGGTATCTTTATTGTTGAAAGGTTTTGCTTACACAGTAGGCTTCATCAGTCAAATACAGAGGAGAATATATTGTAGACAGCAGGAGTAGTAGCGAGGTAAAGATGATGTAATCAGTCCATCAATCTTGGAGAAATATTTTGAGGTGGTCAGTCCCTCAGCCTGGAGAATAGTTCATCTTTATTATTTCTGAGTCTTACTTGTTCTTTACATTGAGACAAGGTTTGCCTGTGTTCTGTATTATGTGCTCATTTTGAACATCTCTAAGCATTTGAAATTTGTCACAGTAAACATGTTATTTTCATTTGCCCATTGGAAGATTTTGTTGATATCAGATTGTAATTTTTCTGTATCTTCTACTGAAGTAACTTCCATACTGCATAGGATGGTATGAAACTGAGGCTAGGTTTTTTTTAATCCATGTCTGCCATGAGGATGAGCAACAGTATATAAAGAGCCAGGAACCCAGGAACTACTAACAGATATACACTGCTAGCTTGGATTATTTGAGTTTTTATAATTTTTATACAGTGGTACTTTGGGATATGAAATTAATTTGTTCCAGAAGGCTGTTCGAGTGCTGATACTGTAAAGTAGATTAATCCATTTCAGACCCCCAAAAATACACTTACAAAAGCACTTATATAAATACACTTACATAATGTTCGAGTTTTGAGCTGTTCATATCCCGAGGTGCCACTGTATTTTTTCATAAATTGCTATGAAGTAACATATATCGACTATATAATATAGTACAGCTAAAATATTGATACAGTACCTTATTGTTCATTTGAAAAAAATATACAAACATCTCGGATAAATGTTGATTACTATACATGTTGATTAGCCCAACTGGCTTTTGACATGTTGCATGCCTTTATCTGTGACCCTTTGGACCATCTGTTGTATTCCACACTGCTTCTCGATCTGCTCTTTGCACTTTCTGCCACCTCCCTACATTTGTCTGCCTCTGCTGAACTGTTCTTTTCTTTCAGGGGCTTGGCCTCTGCCCTAACCATTAGGCAAGATGGAATCCTTCACCACCTCCAAGTGAGCTCCCTTGCCTTGTAAGTTGAAGTTATAACAGTTTGCCCTTGTGTAAGAATCTCAAGAAAACTTTAGGAGCCTTTTAACATTTACAATTGAACAAGATTTTTAATTGATGCTGATTAGTTTAGCTTGGTGTGATATTCTCTTGGTGTTGTGTATTTTATTCCAATGATAGTTATTGTATTGTTTGCTAATTTTACCTTTAATATTTTTAAATGTATTGTATTAATTCTTTACTGCCAAGACCGCAGAATGATCACACTGGTTGAAGTACACTTAGCCTCGAAGCTTACCATGAAAATTAAGGATGATCCTACTACCATTCTCCATCTCAAAAGGTCCATTACCTGTCACCATGTATTATGAGAGCATTAGCTATCACCTTGCTTGTCATAAACTTGTAATTACAAATTGTTTTCTAAAAATTGGTTGTTTCAGATGCAAAACCAAAGTCACTTCCTGAGGCCTTGAAGGAGAAGCTTCAACATCAGACTGACATCATGTGTCCAAGCCACCAGGGAGAGAAGTCTCTTTCCCAGGTCACTGAGGAGAGAAACTTTAACATCAGTCCTTTAGAGCCAACAAAGTGCTGAATGACAAGTTTCTTTTCTGGGGCTAAACACTTTCATGTGAGAGTGATGGAGTTTACATTGTTATTTGTGTGAGTTGCCTTGTTCCAAACAGTTTATGGCATTGTTGGAGCATCATAAAGAAATTGTAGAATATTCATATATGGAAAAATGTTGTGGGTTGATCACAAAATGCTGCAATAACTTGAAATGTTTTGTGTTCATCTGTGCAATATTGATGCTCTTCCAATGGAGTGATTATCTTGCTTATAAGATAATAAGAAAGACAGTAGAATGCATTCACACAGTCACACAGCAAAAAACAAGTATGAATGTGATGATTGTGGAAAAGTGTTTTCTCTAAAAAGGTACCTGAACATTCACAAGGTCAGTCATGTAAGTGAGAAATATAAATGTGAGGAATGTGGAATACTTTTTACAGGGAAGAACTACCTTGAGAAACATAAGGCGAGTCACTCAGACCAGGAGACACTTGCTCACACACTGCCACTCAGTGATATAAGTGAGAGCAGCAACACTGTCAACAGTAAAGTGGACTGTCACACAAGTGACAAGTCTTCTGTTAACGAACATAAAATAAGTAATTCTATCAAGAAAATCTTCAAATGCAGAGAATGTGGAAAACTGTTCACTTTAAGGAGATATCTTAACAAGCATAAAAGTATTCACATACTTGAGAAACACTTTAAATGTGAAGACTGTGGAAAACAGTTCTCTCGGAGAGGCTACCTTAATAAGCACAAGCTCATTCACACTGGTAAGACAAAGAAGCACTCATGTGAGGAGTGTGGGAAAGTGTATGTTAATAAGAGAAGTCTGGAGTGGCATAAAGCTGTACACACAGACAAGAGATATGAATGTGACCAATGTGGCAAGTTCTTCCTTCATATGACTTATCTTAGTCAACATAAAAATGTCCACACGCAAGACAAAAAGTATGAATGTGATGAGTGTGGGAAAGTGTTCTTGTGGAAGAGGAAACTTACTGATCATAAGCTAATTCACACTGCTGAAGAGCATGAATGTAATGTACGTGGCAAAAATTTTATTCAAGAGAGTAGTCTCACTGAGAATAAACTTGCCCATATTTTGGAAAAGCTAGAATGTGAAGCACCTGCTACACTGTGTGTTCAACAGGAACAACTTGATAAGCATAATAGCACTCTCAAACATGAGGTAAAGTGTACATGTGAGCAATGTAACAAATCAGTCTCGAAAGAGAGTTACCTCATCCAGCATGAAGTTATACACAAAGGTGTAACAAAGTTTGAGTGTGATGAATGTGGAAAACTTTTTACTTTGAAAAGCTACCTTAATAAGCATAAGCTTAGCCACAAAGGTGAGAAATTTCAGTGTGAGGAGTGTGGCAAAGTGTTTTCTCGTAAGTGTTACCTTCACAAGCATCGGCTTATTCACACAGATCACAGTGAAATGTACTCGTGTGAGGACTGTGGAAAATCATCTACTAAGAAGGTTAATATTACTAGGCACAGAGTTGTTCACACTGACAAGAGGTACAAGTGTAATGAATGTGGAAAACTGTTTCTTCACAAAGCGTACCTCACTCACCATAAAAACATTCATACAGGTGAAAAAACATACAAGTGTGATGAATGTGGGAAGGTTTTCTTATGGAAGAGTAATCTTGTAGATCATAAGGTATTCCACACAGGTGTTAAAAAGTATGAGTGTGAAATGTGTGGGAAACTGTTCTTCCAAAAGAGTCAGCTAACTGAGCATAAACTAATTCACACAGGTGAAAAAAAATATGAATGTGAGAAATGTGGAAAACTGTTCACTTTAAGGAGATATCTTAACAAGCATAAAAGTATTCATGTAAGTGAAAAACACTTTAAATGTGAGGAATGTGGTAAACAGTTCTCTCGGAGAGGCTACCTTAATAAGCACAAGCTCACTCACACTGCTAAGACAAAGGAGTACTCATGCGAGGAGTGTGGGAAAGTATATGTTAATAAGAGAAGTCTGGAGTGGCATAAAGCTGTACACACAGACAAGAGATATGAATGTGACCAGTGTGGCAAGTTCTTCCTTCATAAGACCTATCTTAGTCAACATAAAAATGTTCACACGCAAGACAAAAAGTACGAATGTGACAAGTGTGGGAAGGTGTTCTTGTGGAAGAGGAAACTTACTGATCATAAGCTATCCCATTCAACTGAGAGGTATGAATGTGAGATATGTAGAAAGTTGTTTGTGCACAAGAGATACTTCATAGAGCATCTGGTCATTCACACAGGAGAGAAGAAATATCAGTGTGAGGAATGTGGTAAAATGTTCCCTCTGAAGAGTTATCTTCAGAAACACAAGATCATTCACACTGGTCAGAAAAAGTATGAATGTGAAAAATGTGACAGAATCTTCACAAAGAAAAGTAGCCTTAACAAACATGTTAGTAGTCATGTTAGCGAGCAGTATGAGTGTTATATAGAGTGTGACATAGTAGACATGATGTGCTAGGTAATAGCGTGACACAGTAGACATGATGTGCTAGGTAATAAGGACATATCATTCCTGGAAATGGTCAATAATAAGACAATGTATGTGATACAATATTTTGTCTGTGTTGTCATTATTTGAGTGTGTTTAGAGGTGTTGCCATTATCTGAAAGTGTCATTATGCATGTGTTGTTCAGAAGTGTTACCATTATGTGAGAGTGTCATTCAGAAGTGTTGCCATTATGCAAGTGTCATTGAGAAGCATTGCCATCCATGTTCAGGTGTACACTAACAGTATATGTACAGTGGTCCCTCGTTTTTCGTAGTTAATCCGTTCCTGGAGTTGCTACTATTATCGAAATCTACGATTTGCGAATCAATTTTCCCCATAAGAAATAATGTAAATACAATTAATCTGTTCCTGACACCCAGAAGTATTAAAACAAAAAATTTTTTTACATGAAATATAGATGTAGTACATAAACAATACAATGGGAAATGATGAATGAAACATTAACAGCATAACACTTACCTTTATTGGTTATTCTTTTTAGTGTATGGGGGACTGGAGGAGGAGAGAGATTGGATTGTTTACAGTTTGGAAGGGGAATCCCCTTTTTTTTTTTTTTTTTTTTTTTTTTTTTTTTTTTTTTTTTTTACACATGGTTTGACAAGGTTAAGGATCCCTAGCTTTATTGACAAGCTATTTACAGGTTAAGGATTCCTAACTTTATTGACAAGCTAAGAGCTGTTACCTACATCAGCTCATTTGAAAGCATTTTTATTGTTATGAGACATACAAGTAGGGAACAGGATGAAGTTGGAGCCATCTGTGGGCCAGCATTTTCATTTGATCAACTGACGTTATCTCGTTGACATCATTATGCTGAACGAATGTGTTCCATACTCGAGTCATCCTGGGTATGTATGATCTCAGATGGAGTGATGTTCTGGAGAAGGGTACAGCCAGAGTGAAGTTGCTGCTTTCTGCCCGTCTTGTGGCATAAAAGCTTGTTTCGCGCTGTCCTCGAAGTGGATCCAAGTGTGGTATTTTGACAATATTGGCCTTGTACATAACAGTAAGGCCACCCACATCCCTCCTATGTTGAAGGCTCTGCTGAAATGACAGATCCATCCAGGATGGGTCCAGGCGAGAGATGAGACGTCTTGCTCTGTTCTCTACTCTGTCAAGCAGTCGCAGATGAGAGGGGGGACAGGCAAACCAAGAAAGTGGAGCATACTCAAGGTGTGAGCGTACTTGTGCCTCGTACAGTATCTTGCAACCCCTACTGTCAAGCAGATGCGAGATACGGCGAAGTGCTGTAAGCTTCCTGGCTGCCTTGTTTGCAAGATTTACAACATGGTTCTTCATGGTTAGTTTGGAGTCAAATTTCACCCCAAGGATATCAACTTCTTCTCCAGGTGCCAACATCCTCCCATTCATCCTTACTACTGCACCAGCATTACCATCATGGTGCCTAGAGACGATCATCATTTGCGTTTTCTCAGGTGCAAATGTTACTTGCCATCTATTTCCCCAAGCTGATATAGCTCTCAGCTGGTGATTGATGTAGCTTAGAGCAGCTGGCATTTCTTCTCTTGGATAAGTGAATGTCAGTGTACAGTCGTCTGCATATGCATGTGATTCTGGGATGAGATGAAGAAGGTCGTTGAAGTAGACATTCCATAACAGTGGACCCAGCACACTTCCTTGTGGAACGCTTGCCCCAATAGGATGTCTTGCTGATTCCAGCAACACCTCAGGTACGAATTGCTTTTCTGGGGTTGCTTGTCTTCTCTGTTTCTTAATGCCACTAGGACCACCTTGAGAGTCACTGGAGTCCTGTCTCGCAAAATAACTGTGAAGAGAGCTCTGTTTCTGGCGTCTCTTTAACACTTCCCTAAAATGGCCCAAGACTTTGTCACTGTACATGTTGCCAACATGGCTTGCAACAACCTTGTCAGGGTGATGTTTCTCCATAAAGCTTTCCATCTTACCCCACATAACAAAAATCTCTTTAATTTCTGAAGAAGGCACCTTCTTCCATCTCTCTTCCTCCTCCTCTGCAGCAAGATTCTGAGCTGCGATCTGTTGCTGTTCCTGCTGAAGCTCTTGCAGCAGGAACAGCAACAGCATCTTTGATTTCCTTTTTCTTGGCCACTATGGAACATATGGTTGTGTAGGGTTTCTTATACATCCTGGCCAGTTCGGCCGCACTTGTGCAACTTCCATGTTGTTCAATGATGTTTTTCATAAATTCAATCGTATTTCTCACCTTCTTTACCACAGACTTGGCACTAGGAGCTTTCTTTGGAGCCATGGTAGCTTATTTAGTACTTGCAAGCACTAAAATGAGTGGAATATTATGAAATATTTCGTAGGAGCACGTGAGGGGACCTTCGCTCACTGGTAAATAATGCCAGGCTGGCTGGGTAGGGAGGCCGCCCCGGCTCACACCGTGCGTACGCGTCCTGGATGAACTACTATTCGCGAGTCAACCTATGATTAGCGAGCCCATGTTTATACGAAAATATCCTTATGATTTCCGAAATCTATGATTCCTGAGAACTACGAAAAGCGAGGGACCACTGTATATGTTCTTTCTTTCTTTCAACAAACCGGCCGTATCCCACCAAGGCAGGGTGACCCACAAAGAAAAACGAAAGTTTCTATATATATGTATGTATTTTTATTTTGAAGTCTTGTGTTGGTGAGTGATCTACCTGACCCATGCTGTATATTATTATTATAATCAAGGGGGAAGCGCTAAACCCGGAGGATTATACAGCGCCTGGGGGAGGGGATGTGGAAGGCATTCAGGCTTAATTCGGGGAACTGGAGCACAGATCTAATTCCCTAAATCAAGAGCCCCTCACCAACATTAAGGAACCTTCCTTGCTTTGCTGTATAGCCCTTGTGGCTTAGCGCTTCTTTTTGATTATAATAATAATACCTGACCCATGTTGAATGTAATGTGATATTATTGTGTTCATAGAGAAGACATAAGCTGGTAAGGTTATCAACACTTGAGAAAGGATGCAAGCCAGTTGATCTGAGAAAGTGGAGGGGGGGGGGGGACTCAATTTTCTGAAAGGAAGGGCACCTTTCAAGGGAGGTTCCTTGATGCAGAGGGTCTATTGATTCAAGGAATTGGACCTGACCTCCCTTTCCTTGGATCAGACTGATTGCCTCTTATTCTTCCAGGCAGTGTGTGATTACTGCGGGTTTAGTGTTTTCCTCCATGAGTGTAATAATAATAGTAGCAAGGGCATTTCTTCAGTACTGAGACATCCCCCCCCTTTAAAAGATGTAATGTGACACACACGTGTGTCTTTATAGTTCTTAAACACTTTAGTGAAGCTGGTGCTGGTGCCATCCAGGTGACTTGCATAAGATACTGTTAATACTGTTGTACCTGCCAATGTACACATGTCACACTGCTCGACTTTCTTGAACTGTTATTACGAGGAGGAAGGACTGCTTACCTTGCAGTGGTTATATAACACTTGGGTAGTGGGAAGTAATCAGATGCGATTATTATTTTTATTGTATTATTATTCATGTGGGGAGTGCTAAACTCATAAGGGTCACACAGCACCTGCAGTCAGATTTAAGGCTTTAAACCAAGAATCCTCCACTAGCATCATAACACCTTCCCTTGAGGGGCACATTCTTATGGATTTGTTAAATTATTTTATGCTACATATATTTTAGTAAAGTTTGGGTGCAAAGTCAATTTTAGGGCAAAAAAAAAAAAAAAAAAAAAAAGGTGAAGAAAGGGGAAGCAGATCTTGAGGTGCACCTGCTGTGCTCAGTGACCCCTGTAATGATGATAATGAGGTGCACATCAATATTTTCCAAAATCAGCAAACCCCACCTTGGTAGGGGGGTTCCTTGATGCCAGTGAGGGACTGTTGTTGCAAGGCATTGGACCTATGCTTCCCTTCTTTATGGAACCTGAATGCTTCTCATTCCCCAAGGTTGTATATGACCCCTACAGGTTTAGTGCCCCCTTTCCCCATCCTCTTTATGAATATAATACCAGAATCCCAAGTTATAGGGACTTATTTTTTTACTCTTTAGAAATTCTTTACTGGATTATTCCATGTGACCAAAATACAATAAAATATTCTTTCATAATATTTGAAAATCATTTTTAGTTTTCTACTCAAAATGACAAAGAAACATTTGAAAGTTTTCTACATCTTTTATGATATACAAAAATAAATTATATTATGCACTACATGTATGTATGAAGCCTTTATCATCATTTTACTAAATAATACAGCACTTGCTACATAAAAATAATATACAAATTTCTTAAAAGTAATCCAAATCTGTATAAGTAACCAACCTCAGTGTATTTCTAACTTTCCAAACATCTGGAGACTTTGTACTGCCTGTCTTATTTATTACACCATTTTCAAAGAAAGTCATTATTCACTAAGAAATAGACATATGTAATCTGTAAATGAGTAAGACTGAGTCATGCACAATCACTAGTTGAAAATGAAATAAAAATAAGGGCAAGATCACTTAAAATTTTGCAATGAAGTTGTGAGTGTTTGGATATAGTTTATGTGGTGAAAAGAATGAGAGAGGCCAGAAAACCTGGAAGATTGTGTGGAGGTGCCAAGTACAACTAATGACTTGAAGAGGCTATGATTTTGATAGTATGTAATAGTATGTTGGATACAGAGCATATATAAAATGGAATTAACAGCCAAACACATACATGAACATACTACAACATGCATCTTGATGAAGTGCCCCTGACAAGAAGTCTTCTTTGAGGGTGTAGCATAATCTGGAATAATAATTGTATTATCTGTCATATTTCAGATACTGCTGACAGAGAGAGAGCACCTTAAACCTTGTCAAAAGAATTTTACATACTGGTTTGGTGGTGAAAAACTAGACAATTGCCACTTGTCTCCACATAGAAACCAGAAAGGACGGTGTGCGATATTAATGTTATTTGTTTCTACAGAGGTGTACACAAAATAAGTATACTACAGTGAAAAATAATAATAATATGGAAAATGCAAAACCTATACCTTTGAAGAGTTTCGAGAGTTTCACTACCCTCAGAGCCCACCCATGGGCCAAGCTCGTCTGGTGCTTGCCTGGTCAACCAGGCTGTTGCTGGTTGAGGCCCGCTGCCCCACATATCCATCACATCCTGGTTGATCTGGCACCTGGTAAAGATACTTGTCCAGTTTCCTCTTGAAGGCTTCTACACTTGTTCCAGCTGTGTTTCTGATATCTTCTGGTAAGATGTTGAATAGTCTGGGACCCCGGATGTTGATACAGTGTTTCCTTATTGTCCCCACCGCACCCCTGCTCCTCACTGGGTTTATTTTACACTTCCTCCCATATCTCTCACTCCAGTATGTTGTCATGGCAGTGTGCAGATTTGGGACCAGGCCCTCGAGTACTTTCCAGGTATATATTATCAAGTATGTATTATCCACTCCAATAAGTACATGTTCAAGACTTGAAGGCATTCCCAGTAATTTAGGTACTTTACTGGCTCAATGTGAGCCATAAACGATTTCTGTATTTGTTCCAGCTCTGATATTTCTCCTGCTTTGAACAGGGCCTTCAGCACTGAGCAATATTCTAAATGAGGGAGCACTAGCAATTTGAAGAGTGTCACCATTGGCATTAAAACCCTTGTTTTGAAAGTTCTCAATACCCACCTCGTCATCTTCCTGGCTGTCATGATCTTTGTCTTGTTATGGTCTTTAAAAGAAAGGTCAGCTGACATAATTATTCCCATGTCTTTTACATGTTCCTTTTATTCTATTTGGTGACCCTCTTGAGTTTTGTATCTAGTGTTCCTTTTGAGTTCTTCATTCTTTCCATACCTAGGCAGCGTCATGTTCTCCACTGCCCACTGTCAGATAATGACTTCCTAAGTGACTAAGCACTGATTGGCCTCCTAGAGCTTGGTTTTCACTTCAACACAAAGATGAGATATGGTAAAGGAAAGAGCATGAACACAAAGTCTTGGGAGAGTGATTACAGTTAGGATGAGCCTTACATATTTCACTTATAAGGAAGGAGTGTACATTATATGGAAGCAGGCAAGTAAAGAATTTGAATGAGCACCAGGAAGCAAATTTGGTGTTTAATCTGTTAAAAACTTGTCTATACTGTACTGTACAAGAAACAGGAAAAGTAGAGCAGGAACAAAAAATGGCAGCATCTATGCTGAGGAAATGTTTAAGAATCACCATACTCAAAAACACAAGTGCAACACTTTAGAACAAATGTCAACACACAATAAATCACTGAACTAACTCTTAATTCACCACTTGCCTATTCAAAGCATTCAGTTGCTCCTGATCAGCATGGTCAAGAGTGCTGTGTTCTGCCGATACTTTCTGCACTTGTGTTAAATCGGCTGATCTTCAACTTTTATAATAATTGTAAATGTTATCTCTTGTCTCTGAATATCACTATACTCCTGGGTTTCTTCAGTCACATAGTATAATTCCACAATTCATTCATCCCATCATGCTGGTCTCTGCCAAATATTTGTATTACTACAGGGTATCTTTAATTGTATAATCTTATAGCTCAATAGCAAATAATAAATAAAATCCTCTTTTCTCTGCTACCAGCCAGTCAGAGCATGTCTAATGCCTTTTGCCTTTCTCCATAACTCATATTTTTTTTTTTAACTTTGGGAGCCATTTTGTTACTCCTCATTAAGCTTTTTTTAACTCGTCCACGTTTTTCAAAATCAGACACTATACCACTGTTGTATATTACAATTTTGATAAAACATTTGTGTGGGGAGGACAGAAGTGGAGCACAGGGTAGTTCATTTTGCATATATGTACAGTAGAGTCCACAGGCAGGGGAAGGGTGCCAGTATTATCTTGTAAATATACATTTGTAAATATGAATATGAAGGAGGGGTGTTAATGTTGCAGTTTAAAAACTGTAGTGTAAAGCACCCTTCTGGCAAGACAGTGATGGAGTGAATGATGGTGAAAGTTTTTCTTTTTCGGGCCACCCTGCCTTGGTGGGAATCGGCCGGTGTGATAATAAATAAAAAAAAAAATATGAATATATTATACATACAAGTTTTAAAAATTCTTTAATGTGCTGATGAAAGCTTCAAGTTTCACCTCTTTGCCTCACCTTTATCTGCTTACTAGTTTCAAAATTTTCCTGCCACAGAGGCTCTGTTGTCCTTATTCATAAAACTATGTATGAAGTATGCTTCCACCACTTCCTCATTGGAGGTCATTCCCATTCCTGACCACCATGACACACAAGTAAATATTGTATGATGCAACAATGGAGTGTAATTTTATGTAAATCCAAAAAAAATTGAAAAGGTACATCTAGAATTTTGTAACACACTAAAAAAAACTGTGATATTACTTACAATAAATCTAAAATATTAAGTAATGTGCAAAATGTGTGTAGTGCCCTCTGCAGATTTTTTCTTATGTGCTGGATGAGCAAGTGGTATGGTGTCCTTCATCCCTCAGCCTCAGCCTTCCACTGCTCTTACTGAGTAAGCCATGTCCACTACACAATATTTTTAACTAAATGTTCTCCAAAAGTTATATAATTTTTGAATGCAAAAACATGAAGTCCACAAAAGTTAGGTACTGTATCATACATTATCATAATTAGTCTTTCACGGTGATTTAACTATCACAGTTATAGTACTAAAATTGTGGCTATGTAGTGGAGAATGTGTTCACTGAGGTGACAGGCATGATACCACCTCACTACCCCCAGTACGTTGGCATATTCCAGACAAGAATCATCGTACTTCTCTAGGTAAGGCAAAGTTTTTAGTGTCAATTTAGTTGTCTAATCAAATGATGCATGGGCGAGTCTCCTGCCAGTTGCTTAATATTTTGAGAGGAGGGGGAGGAGAAGGCATGTTAACTCCCTGTTGACTCTGGCTTTAGTCCGGTCAAGTGTGTGGTCTATTTGACTGCTTACTTACTCCTCCATTAAACACAACACTTTCAGACTCTCATGCATAAATCATAAAAAAAAATAAAAGTTATGCAGACAATTAAGATGTGTTGAAGAATTAGATATATGAATCTGTGATCCCACAAGATAGCTGGAAGCCAAAGCCAGAGTTGGTAGCTCTCTACATCTCCCAGACACAGCCTCCCACAAAATATTACAGCATTATATTTTTCTTAGTTGTCACTTTTTCAAATACATACCTCCTTAATATATATTTGTTTGGCATAGGTGTAGAGTTATTATTTGTTTGGTATAATTTAGTCAAGAAATTGCTTATATTTTTACAGTGTAGTGTGTATTAGCTGATCAACCTATCTACTTCCATCTAAACCCAGAACGCCCATTTAATCTCTTTGCCCCCCACTCAAATTCTTTCGAGTAACCACTAACAAAATGTGAGCAAGTTGTATTACAATAATTTTTACCTAATGCAATAATAAGACAATTTTAATTTTTATAAGGTGCTGATTTTCAGGAACGTAAGTCGCGCGCTGAGAGAGAAATTACTGTATTTCTGAGGTCCAGTTCTTTGACTCTCACGTGAGTTAGCTCTCCTGCAGGTGTGGGACAAATATCATGAACTAAAACACTGAGGTGTGTAAAGCTCACTAGAGAAGACTGTAGCATAAACTCTAAAGAATGCATGTGGATATAGTCAGAGGTGTTGTGTGTTAGTTTAGAAATAAAAACAATAGCCATCCAGGGAACTTCAGGTATAGCCAATGAAAGATACAATTTATATATAGATCTGAGAAATAATGTAGAAAGTACAGTTAACAAAATTTTAAAGTATAAAAATATTAGTGAAAATACAGTACAGTAATATTAAATGTAATATTGTTATGTATACATATATTTACAAAAGAAACAGAGCAGCACCAAAGCTGGACAATACTACTTGCAAGTAAACTGTGTGAACCTACACCTGGCAGGCTTGGAGTGGCATAATATATATGAAATTCATACACACAATATCACTCATGTCAAGGCTGGAGACTGAACTAACCTTCAGCTAGAAGTTAACAGAATTGGTCACCTTCATGTCAAGGCTGCAGACTAGGCAAGCTCCTTTTGATCCTGTGGGTTGACACAGGGCAAGTCACCTCCAAGGCCCTTTGTAAGGTGACCTCATTTGACAGCTGTCACACACCTGGTCCCTATCATATCAAGACTCCATATTAAGGTGACACTTGGTCACTTATAGTACAATCTCATATTAATGAGACTGAATGAACTTATGCAGGCAAGACTTGTAAAGCAATTAAGTCTTCTCACTGGAGGGATGGTGGTAGCTTCAAGCATTATCAAACACCACAGGCAAGATTACCTGATTTTCCTTTTATGTTCTACCTAATTAAAACAAAGACAAATATTAATAAGTATCAATAACTGCCACAAACACATTGAAAACTTACAAAATATCAACTACATACTCACAAAAAAATACTGTATAAAGATCTATTGCTACCCAATGCAAACATTTTGCCTATTGTCTTAATGTTTATGTCATAGATATACAAGTGCCAATAAAAAATATGATATCAATCTTATGTACTCTCAAATGACAACTGACATGCTATACATACACACACACACACACACACACACACACACACACACACACACACACACACACACACACACACACACACACACACAGAGGTGGCAAATATCTGTTCCAGTAATTTTGTGACTACACTACATGGTACAAAACCATGCAACTATGCACTTAACTTTCACATCATCATTACAAAATATAGCAGTAATATATCATAACACAAAATATTGTACTACAAACATATTCTAAAGAAATAAGCTACAGAATAAAACACAACAATAATTATGACTTTTGATGTACTACTTTGTATGAGAGACAGGAGTCCCAGTATACAGTATATGAGTGACATGGGTACCAGTATGCAGTACATGAATGACACAAATCCCATTCTTTGTATGTGCGACAGGAGTCCCAGTCCTTGAAGTCTTAGTATGAATAAAAGGTCCCAACTTAAGTATCAGAATATACTATATAAGAAAGCATCAAAAAAATGTTAGTAAAAGCTTTACTGTAATCTAATGACTAAATTTTGTGACTTGGTCCAGTAAAGTATAATTATTATTATAAGCACTAAACCACCAGGGTCATACAGCACTGCAAGGTAGGGGTTGTAAGGTTGGCAAAGAGTACTAAAGGAAGTATAATCAAAGGTTGTGTAATAAATCTGTTGCTGTCAAAAAAGTCAAAGAGGGAGTCTGTGTCAAAGGTGGGCCAATGGTTGTAAAGGTAGCTTGAGATTACAACAAAATAATTTGAGAATGGAATACCTCTATATGTAACTGGAAGGTTGTGTACTGACCTGCTCGTTGCCCTGAACATCAACATGACCAGGTACCCGGCAGAAAACAACTTCATCTTTGCTAGAAATGCAGCTCAACCAAAGTTGTATATGAAGAACTAGGGGATGAGGGGAATTTAATTTTTGATAGTTTGTAAAGCACTAGAGGAGTCCGAGACTACCACAAACGATGAGGTAGACCTGGACGAAATACTGATAATTGCAGGCAGTTCAGCTGTGAAGATACTAGCCAAGTCTAATAAATGACCTCGCACAACACTGTCCGGGAACACTGCTGCAAACCTGACAGCAAACTATAAACATTAATCTCCATTTACTTTTCACATGAGGCAGAGCTTCCCAGGAACATAGGTAGGTAGGTGTGTGTGTGTGTGTGTGGGAGGGGGGGTGCAGTTCACCAGTGAGTATGTGTGTGCAATTCACCAGTGAGTGTGTGTGGTGCACTTCACCTATGAGTGTGTGGTGCACTTCACCAGTGTGTGGTGCACTTCACCAGTGTGTGGTGCAGTTCACCAGTGAGTGTGTGTGTGCACTTCACCAGTGAGAGAGAGTGGTGCACTTCACCAATGAGTGTGTGTGGTGCACTCCACCATAGTGGCACCACAAGTGTTACCTCAACACACTGGGTACATGTGTACAAGCAGAGGTGTTTGATATTATAACATCTTCCACCATCTGGGTAGATACAAGAACATTTCACACTATCTGGACTGCTACAAGAACATCTCACACCATCTGGGTAGATACAAGAACATCTCACACCATCTGGGTAGATACAAGAACATCTTGCACCATCTGGGCAGTTGCAAGAGCATCTCACACCATCTGGGAAGCCATATACATAAGAATATTAACAAAAAAGCACTGTACTCAATCAAGTTAAAGACATAAGAACTATTTTAGCAAGTGCTCTCCCAGGTATGTCAATAGAATATAAACTTTATACAAATAGAAACATTATGGTTACTTAACAATAAAAATGTGTTTTACTTGAATCCCTACATAAAACCATATGTCAAAATACAATTTAAGACCTGAAAAAGGACACACAATGCATGTAGAAAGGACAATATATTTTGTATGAAGTTCATGGCTCATGTGTAGCAAAAGAATGTTTAAAAAATATTTCTTCCTGACAGTCGGTCAATACAATTTTTACGACGGGACCACTGAGAGGATTGATGTGTTCTCTAAGGAAAAGAGCCGGTTGAGTATTTCACACTGGAACTTGTGTGAGACCTGACAATTATTATTAAACTCACTAGGGTCATACAGCTGTGAGAAGTGACAAGACTGGCAGATGGTCTGCTCTTGTCTCTTAAGATATCTAAAGGTCAAATATGAAACACAATAATGGTTACTTAAAATTAATTATCAAAATTTAGAGGCTAGAAATATTTAGGGTTGAGTGTGTTAATGTTTGTAATTTGTGTGTGGTCAGTGTAACGAGAAGTTCATCAGGGTAAGTTATGCATCATCAGTATGTGACAGGGTACAGTTTACCAGGGGTAACTGATGGTTGGTATATGACAGGAAAGTTTACCAGGGTAAATAATGGTCCACAATAAGCAGATGCATCTGCCAGTTAGTCCCACAACAACCTTTTAAGTCAGGATATTTTTTAAATTTAAGAATTACTGTATTGCTTTTAGTAAGTGTAATAATAATATTCCTATGAAATTATAAATTACTGAGGATCGGTTAGATCTATATTTTTTATGTGCTTGAGGTGCCTTCTGGATGTGATAATGACACAAGAAATGTGAGTTGAAGTGCGAGGCAGGCCACATGGCAGGCAATTTAAAAATCTGATATCTCTTGCTCTCTGGCCTGAACTGCACCAGCTGCAACTACATTCATGTTTTTAATATAATGAAGTACAGTCTAGTCAAATTACTCTATTAGTATTGTATACAAAATCAAAGTATCTGTACACAGCCACAAATATTTATCCCTACAGGAGTTTCATATGTTGGAGCCTTCAAAAGAGGCTCCAGACTATGGCAGCTCTGTGTTGGGGCCCTCAACAGACAGGGCTCCAGACCATGGGAGTTACCTGTGTTGGGGCTCCTCAAGAAGAGGTTCCAGACTGCAAAAGTTCTTTGTGCTGGGGCCTCTCAACAGAAGAGGCTCCAAACTGGGAGTTTCCTGTGTTAGGGCCCTCAAGAAAAGAGGCTCCAAACTACTCTGCTCTCTTTCTCTTAGGATGCCTCAAACACACCTCATTTACACATCTCCAAGAAACTTTTTATTCCCTTGTGTACTTACAACTCCCACCTAAGATGTTGACTGTCTTTCATGTTCTCTGGCAGCCCTTATATACTCATATTTCTTATTATAAAAGTAATTAATCAATATTACCTAAATTTCTGTTCATTCAATTATTTACAAGTACTCAGTCTCCAAAAAATTAAGACTATCATTATAAAAACTGGTCACTGTCTTCAGTTAGGAATGTCACACAAATTCCCATCTCTTCTGAAAACACAACTATACTGCCTGAAAACACAACTACATTGTCTGAAAACAACTACACTGTCTGAAAATGCATCAATCTGAGCAACAGTTCTCAGGACAACTCTGTCAAGGCAATTATTACAATTAACTACACTAAGTCATACAGTAAAAAAAAATCCAATGCAAATGGTCATAATGATTCATTTATTACCACTGGGTCCAGGTACCAAAACAACATGTTGCAATCTGCTTGTAGTTCCATAAGAAATCATTTGTGGAGGGCAAGAGGGCAGCATCATTATAAACACCTAGTGTACCAGTTTATGTTCTCCTCATTATCACCTGTATCTGTTTCCTGTCATATCATTACCAATACATCGTGCAGCTATATTAACTCGATTATTTCATGTCTGACATAAAATTCATCTCACTACCACTTTTAGTGTGATTTTCTAAGTACAGTGCTTGCCTCCAGCTGTCATGTGATCTGTTAGTATTACTAAGCCAGCTGTCACTTGGTCTGCTCAGTGATACTATCCCAGATCCACTTAGTGTTTTCCTCATTCTAAAAATATTTCACTTGTGATAAATATCACAAAAACTGTGAGTTTTGTTTGGTATATTAAACAGCAACTAAGTGTGCTGTATTAGTTTTGTTCCCACAATAAAACACTTAAAGAATATACTGTAGGCAATTTTCTCAGTCATTTAGTAAAGGTTTTTAAAGGTATGACAAATATTCCCTCAGCCACATGAAAGGCAATGTCCTCCTCTACTAAACTCTGAGAAAGATTGAAGCTGCCACTGTTAATCCTGGAGTTAAGTCTCTCCAGCAGTGGACTGTGATGAGCCTGAGGGACACAGTCCCAAGTAGACAGGCCAAGATCACACACATTGTCCCGAGGTCACATAATGTCACACATATCTATCAAGATGCTGCTGGAAGTTTGTGAGGTAGATGATCAGCTCTTCAACTGTGGGTCGTTCTCTTGGAGCAGTTGTCCAGCAAAATGTCATTGCTTTGAACCTGAAAATACAAAAAAAGTCGTCATGAACACTCATCAGTCGTAGCAATCAATAAGATACCAATTTTCTGTATATTCTGCCTGTAAATTTATATGAAAAGTAGTACTGTGAGACATTTGGACCTGTGTGTGTGTTAAAATTGTTGTGTACATATGTTTTGTAAACAATGTATTAATGACAGTGGGGGTATTGTCTTATATACAATGGAACTCCAATACGTACACTCTGCATGATGTGGGTCTCATGGGCTACAACAGTTACTAGAAAAATATATATTAAAAAAAAAAAAATACAAATCATGAGACAATAAGCAATGTTGCTGTCAGTGGGTCACTGATTGTCAGGTGCATACCTTCGTTTCTTGGTAAGTACTGGTGGAAATTTTTTTTTTCATTACCACCATTTTTTTTTTATTAAATGGGAAAATTGTCACACTTTTAATTTTGGGGGTCATGACAGTGAAAGGGTTATTTTCTCTAGAAGGAATGCTTACCTATTTTCCATGGAACACTTGGTGAATGTGTCAAACATGCTTCCCTCGTGAGTTTTACCTAAGCGAGTTTATTAATAAGTTTTTTATTTAGGTTTTAGGGACATATTATGCAATTTTTAATATAATATAGTACAGTGGTCTTGACAGCACACACATTATGGGTACATAGAAATACATTATGCAAACGTAACCTTGGATAACCAATTTAAATTAAATATTGTACTTATGTCAAAGGGTCTAAACCTTGATACATACAACTGGGCCACTGTAGTAGAGCAACACAAACCTTCTCTATGCTTTTCTAGACCAAGAGGAAACAACGCTACCATATAAATGGTCAAAAACATAATTATTAATATTAACAATTTAACCCTTTCACTGTCCAGACCCCCAAAATTAAAACTGCTCTCAAAGTACACTTTAAAAAAAAATTTTTTTTTCTTCTGAAATAAATGGTTGATAATCTCTTTTTTGAAGGTAAAGACACCAAAAGTACAAAATTCAATGGAGTGTTCTCTTACCATGAATGTTTCCTCACACTGTTCTTCACACTGTGTTGCTCTTACTGTGTGTTCTCTCAAAGTGTATTCATCACAATGCGTTCCCTCACACTGTTCCCACACATCATGTTCCTTCACACTGCACATCACAATAACTGTAATTTTGGGTTTGAATTCCTCCAAAATGAGGCTCCTAGACCACCACTCATGCAGTTTGTTGACACTCTTAGTATCACTGTGTTAGCATTCACCTCTACTACCACCATTGCAACTGGTCTTCCTGCACCCATCTTTACAACCATCCTAACTGGTCTTCCTTCATCCACCTCTACTCTACAACCATCCCAGCTAGTTACCTCGACATACCTACGTCTCTTGCACTACAAGACTTACAGTTCATCGGGGCAGTTGATAGGCTGAGCGAGCCGCACTCCTTGTCGCAGGACGGCTGACATCTCAAAAGGGTCTATTTCTGCATATGGCTGCTGGCCCAGAGTCATCACTTCCCAGAGCAGCACTCCCCATGACCACTGCCAGAGAACAACATCAAGAATAAATAAGCTGCAAAAACATAGAAGTAAATTTGCCAAATATATTTAGATAATTGGGAGAAGACATGCTGGATGATGGGATTATGAAAGATCAGGTGAACTTTAAAACAGATGAGTGTAAAAAGGTAGGTGCTGTGTGAAGCATTTGTGGAAAGAAATTTTTATCTTTAGAGGTGTTAAAAAAAAAAAAAAGGGGGGGGGGGGATGTTTCTAACTAAACGCAGCCAGAGGCAGTAGAAAATGTGTTGTGTGAATATTATGCAGAGAATTCGAAGCACAGAAATTAGAAGTGTGTGTGGGGTTACCAAGGTATAATTCAGAGGGGATAGGAGGGGTTGTTCTTAGGTAGTAGGTTGGTAGACAGCAACTGCCCAAGGAGGTATTACCATCCTACCAGGCGAGTATAAAACAAGAGGCCTTTAATTGTTTTACATGATGGTAGGATTGCTGGTGTCTTTTTTCTGTTTCATACACATGCAAAGTTTCAGGTACATCTTGCTACTTCTGCTTACACTTAGGTCACACTACACATGCATGTACAAGCATATATCTATACACCCTTCTTGGTTTTCTTCTATATTCTTACTAGTTCTTGTTCTTGTTTATTTCTTATCTTCATTGGGGAAGCAGACCAGAATTGTTCCTCCGTAAGCCATGCGTGTCATAAAAGGCGACTAAAATGCCGGGAGCAAGGGGCTAGTAACCCCTTCTCCTGTATACATTACTAAATTTGTAAAGAGAAACCTTTGTTTTTCTTTCTGAGCCACCCTGCTTTGGTAGGATACAGCTGGTGCATTGAAAGAAGAAGAAAGAAGGGTGTTGAGGTGGTTTGGGCATTTAGAGAGAATGGAGCAGAATAGGATGACAAAGAGGGTGTATATATCTGGGGTGGAAGGAAGGAGGGGTAGGGATCATCCCAAGAAGGGATGGAGGGAAGGGGTAAAGGAGATTTTGAGTTCTAGAGGTATGAACATTCAACAGGCTTTTATGAACATGTCTGATTAGAGTGAGTGGAGACAGGGTGTTTTTATGAAGATATGCTACTCAAGCCGGAGGAAGATAACATTTTTGAAGAGATTCCGAGAAACTGGTCAGCCAGAATAGGAGTCCTGGAGGTGGGGAGTACATCACCTGCACTCTGAATGAGTAAGGATGTTGCAGTATGGAGGTTATTTGAACTGTGATGTCTGCACACTTCTGAATGAGCAATGATGAACGTGTTTCCTTTTTTGGAACCCTGTACCTCGGTGGGAGATGACTGGTGTTTTAAAAAAAAAATTTTTTACAGGAGTGATAAATGTAGATATTCTTGCACCAAAAGTGGTAATCGTATATGTTTGCACGTTTCATGATTATTTTAGGCCACCTCATTACCAGACATACTGAAACTTTAATTTGCTCATGTGGCTAAAAATGCATTTTTTTAGACTAGTATATCATGTAACCTAGCTGTATGACCCTTGTCAGTTTTGTACTTTCTATGATTATTATAATAATCACGTAACCTAATTTAATCAAAACAGAAATTTGTAAGTTTACATGAATCATTAAGAAACTGACATCAGAAACATCGTAAGAAAATCAATGAACACGCAATTAAATGAATATAGTAGGTAGTAGGTTGGTAGACAGCAACCATCCAGGGAGGTACTACCGTCCTGCCATGTAAGTGTAAAACGAAAGCCTGTGATTGTTTTACATGATGGTAGGATTGCTGAAGTCTTTTGTCTGTCTCATAAATATGCAAGATTACAGGCATGTCTTGCTACTTCTACTTACACTTAGGTCACACTACACATACATGTACACATTTATTTATACACACTCATCTGAGTTTTCTTTGATTTTATCTTAATAGTTCTTGGTCTTATTACTTTTCCTTTTATATCCATGGGGAAGTGGAATAAGAATCTATCCTCCGTAAGCCATGTGTGTTGTAAAAGTCAACTAAAATGTCGGGAACAATGAGCTAGTAACCCCTTTTCCTGTAAAGATTACTAAATTGTCAAAGTGGGAAGTCTGAATGTGCGTGGATGTTGTGCAGATGATAAGAAAGAGATGATTGTGGATGTTATGAATGAGAAGAAGCTGGATGTCCTGGCTTTAAGTGAAACAAAGCTGAAGGGGGTGGGAGAGTTTCAGTGGAGAGGAATAAATGGGATTAGGTCAGGGGTTTCAAATAGAGTTAGAGCTAAAGAAGGAGTAGCAATAATGTTGAAGGATAAGCTATGGCAGGAAAAGAGGGACTATAAATGTATTAATTCAAGGATTATGTGGAGTAAAATAAAGATTGGATGTGAAAAGTGGGTTATAATAAGCGTGTATGCACATGGAGAAGAGAGAAGTGTAGAGGAGAGAGAGATTTTGGGAAATGTTGAGTGAATGCATGGGGAGTTTTGAATCAAGTGTGAGAGTAATGGTGGTTGGGGATTTCAATGCTAAAGTGGGTAAAAATGTTATGGAGGGAGTAGTAGGTAAATTTGGGGTGCCAGGGGTAAATGTAAATGGGGAGCCTTTAATTGAGGTATGTGTAGAAAGAGATTTGGTAATAAGTAATACATATTTTATGAAAAAGAGGATAAATAAATATACAAGGTATGATGTAGCACATAATGAAAGTAGTTTATTAGATTATGTATTGGTGGATAAAAGGTTGATGGGTAGGCTCCAGGATGTACATGTTTATAGAGGGGCAACTGATATATCGGATCATTATTTAGTTGTAGCTACAGTTAGAGTAAGAGGTAGATGGGAAAAGAGGAAGGTGGCAACAACAAGTAAGAGGGAGGTGAAAGTGTATAAACTAAGGGAGGAGGAAGTTCGGGTGAGATATAAGCGACTATTGGCAGAAAGGTGGCTAGTGCAAAGATGAGTAGTGGGGGGGGGGGTTTGAAGAGGGTTGGAATAGTTTTAAAAATGCAGTATTAGAATGTGGGGCAGAAGTTTGTGGTTATAGGAGGGTGGGGGCAGGAGGAAAGAGGAGTGATTGGTGGAATGATGAAGTAAAGGGTGTGATAAAAGAGAAAAAGGTAGCTTATGAGAGGTTTTTACAAAGCAGAAGTGTTATAAGAAGAGCAGAGTATATGGAGAGTAAAAGAAAGGTAAAGAGAGTGGTGAGAGAGTGCAAAAGGAGAGCAGATGATAGAGTGGGAGAGGCACTGTCAAGAAATTTTAATGAAAATAAGAAAAAATTTTGGAGTGAGTTAAACAAGTTAAGAAAGCCTAGGGAAAGTATGGATTTGTCAGTTAAAAACAGAGTAGGGGAGTTAGTAGATGGGGAGATGGAGGTATTGGGTGGATGGCGAGAATATTTTGAGGAACTTTTAAATGTTAAGGAAGAAACAGAGGCAGTAATTTCATGCACTGGTCAGGGAGGTATACCATCTTTTAGGAGTGAAGAAGAGCAGAATGTAAGTGTGGGGGAGGTACGTGAGGCATTACGTAAAATGAAAGGGGGTAAAGCAGCTGGAACTGATGGGATCATGACAGAAATGTTAAAAGCAGGGGAGGATATAGTGTTGGAGTGGTTGGTACTTTTGTTTAATAAATGTATGAAAGAGGGGAAGGTACCTAGGGATTGGCAGAGAGCATGTATAGTCCCTTTATATAAAGGGAAAGGGGACAAAAGAGTCTGTAAAAATTATAGAGGAATAAGCTTACTGAGTATACCAGGAAAAGTGTACGGTAGGGTTATAATTGAAAGAATTAGAGGTAAGACAGAATGTAGGATTGCGGATGAGCAAGGAGGTTTCAGAGTGGGTAGGGGATGTGTAGATCAAGTGTTTACATTGAAGCATATATGTGAACAGTATTTAGATAAAGGTAGGGAAGTTTTTATTGCATTTATGGATTTAAAAAAGGCATATGATAGAGTGGATAGAGGAGCAATGTGGCAGACGTTGCAAGTATATGGAATAGGTGGTAAGTTATTAAATGCTGTAAAGAGTTTTTATGAGGATAGTGAGGCTCAGGTTAGGGTGTGTAGAAGAGAGGGAGACTACTTCCCAGTAAAAGTAGGTCTTAGACAGGGATGTGTAATGTCACCATGGTTGTTTAATATATTTATAGATGGGGTTGTAAAGGAAGTAAATGCTAGGGTGTTCGGGAGAGGGGTGGGATTAAATTTTGGGGAATCAAATTCAAAATGGGAATTGACACAGTTACTTTTTGCTGATGATACTGTGCTTATGGGAGATTCTAAAGAAAAATTGCAAAGGTTAGTGGATGAGTTTGGGAATGTGTGTAAAGGTAGAAAGTTGAAAGTGAACATAGAAAAGAGTAAGGTGATGAGGGTGTCAAATGATTTAGATAAAGAAAATTGGATATCAAATTGGGGAGGAGGAGTATGGAAGAAGTGAATGTTTTCAGATACTTGGGAGTTGATGTGTCGGCGGATGGATTTATGAAGGATGAGGTTAATCATAGAATTGATGAGGGAAAAAAGGTGAGTGGTGCGTTGAGGTATATGTGGAGTCAAAAAACGTTATCTATGGAGGCAAAGAAGGGAATGTATGAAAGTATAGTAGTACCAACACTCTTATATGGGTGTGAAGCTTGGGTGGTAAATGCAGCAGTGAGGAGATGGTTAGAGGCAGTGGAGATGTCCTGTTTAAGGGCAATGTGTGGTGTAAATATTATGCAGAAAATTCGGAGTGTGGAAATTAGGAAAAGGTGTGGAGTTAATAAAAGTATTAGTCAGAGGGCAGAAGAGGGGTTGTTGAGGTGGTTTGGTCATTTAGAGAGAATGGATCAAAGTAAAATGACATGGAAAGCATATAAATCTATAGGGGAAGGAAGGTGGGGTAGGGGTCGTCCTCGAAAGGGTTGGAGAGAGGGGGTAAAGGAGGTTTTGTGGGCAAGGGGCTTGGACTTCCAGGAAGCGTGCGTGAGCATGTTAGATAGGAGTGAATGGAGACGAATGGTACTTGGGACCTGATGATCTGTTGGAGTGTGAGCAGGGTAATATTTAGTGAAGGGATTCAGGGAAACCGGTTATTTTCATATAGTCGGACTTGAGTCCTGGAAATGGGAAGTCCAATGCCTGCACTTTAAAGGAGGGGTTTAGGATATTGGCAGTTTGGAGGGATATGTTGTGTATCTTTATATGTGTATGCTTCTAGACTGTTGTATTCTGAGCACCTCTGCAAAAACAGTGATAATGTGCGAGTGTGGTGAAAGTGTTGAATGATGATGAAAGTATTTTCTTTTTGGGGATTTTCTTTCTTTTTTGGGTCACCCTGCCTCGGTGGGAGACGGCCGACTTGTTGGAAAAAAAAAAAAGTGTAAATACATAATAGTTGACACCAGTAACTTGAGAGATACATACAGCGACTACTACATAAGTATTAACAAATGTTGGTCATGAGTCACATCTATTATTCAGATCAATGCATCTAGCAGTTTAATTCAAGCCTTGAGGGGTAACCAGAAGTGGATACTTCTCTGAATCTTCAGTGTCAGGATACCTGCACACTTCAATGTATCACACACTGCTGCATCTCTCAGTGTTTCTTATAATTTGTGAAATGTCACATGTCTGGGATACCTTATTTACCAGTAAGAAACACATTAACAACTTGTACATAACTTACAACATCAGATGCTGGAGTGTTGTGTCAGCCACCAAGAGTAAGAAACACACTTAACATCTCGTACACAACTTACAACATCAGATGCTGGAGTGAAGACCTTGTGTGCAAGGCTCTCCAGAGCCAGCCATTTTATGGGTCTGTTTTCATTATCTCCGAGGCAGTGGTAGTCGGCAGGATACAAGTCTCGTGCCAAAGCGCAGTCTGTCAGCCTCACTTGTAAACCTTCATCAACTCTGCAACACAATTTATCTTACTAGCAATTTTTTTATACAATAAATGAGCAGTTACACTAGTGATGGTGTACTAATAAACTGGCTTAAGCTTGCTTCATCCACTTTAATAGTCTATAAGTTATACTGAAGTGGAAAAATGACACACAAGTGAATGCTAAAAAAAGAAGGCAGCTGAATGATAGCAATGAACACAAAGCACTAGCAAATCACACATCTATTATTATTATTATTATTATTGTTTTTATTATTAATGTTGAAGGTAGTAGGTTGGTAGACAGCAACCACCCAGGGAGGTTCAGTGGTACCCTGAGTTTCGTACAGCTCCCAACTCGAACAATTATGCAACTGTATCATTGTAGGTGCTTTTGTACGTGTATTTTTGGGGGTCTGAAATGGACTAATCTAATTCACATTATTCCTTATGGGAACAAATTCGTTCAGTAACAGCACTCAAACAGCCTTCTGGAATGAATTATGGCCGAAACTCGGGGTATCACTGTACTACCATCCTGCCAAGTGAGTGTGAAATGGAAACCTGTAATTGTTTTACATGATAGTAGGATTCCTGGTGTCTTTTTTTCTGTCTCATAACACATGGGATAACAGGTGTATCTTGCTACCTCTACTTACACTTAGGTCACATTACACATGCATGTACACACTTATATGTATATACACACCCATCCGGATTTTCTCCTATTTTCTTAATAGTTCTTGTTCATTATTTCCTCTTATCTCCATGGGGAGGTGGAAAAGAATTCTTCCTCTGAAAGCCATGCATGCTGTAAGAGACAACTAAAATGCCAGGAGCAAGGGGCTAGTAACCCCTTCTCCTGTATAAATTACAAAATTAAAAAAAAAAAAAAAATCTGCTTGCCTTTTTGTGTCATCCTGCCTCAGTGGGATATGGTCAGTTTGTTGAAAAAAAAATTATGTATTATTCTCACAGGGAAGCACTAAAGAGTAGGGGTCATATAGTGCTTGGGGAATGAGAGGTAATTAGGTTTGAAATAAGGAAGAGGAAATTCATCCTCAATTCTATCATGGACCTGTAACCAGCATCAAGGACTCCTCCCTCCCTCCCTCCCTTGCTTCCTTGAGTGGATCATACATCATAAAACATCCTTGATCAGGTGTTAAGAAGGCAAGGTAACAATTGTACAGCAAGGCTCAAGCAGGTAAGGTCCTCTCTCACAGGTTGTTACACCAGCACAACAATGTTATAAAGGCCCAAATTTAATGCTCACAGCTTATCAGAGTGAGCTGAGCTCATGGCGTAGATCTATGGTTTGGACCCTCAACATAAAGCCATAGATCTACGGCACGGACCCTGAAAGAGTTAACCAATTCATCAATAGTTTGTATATGTTCGTTTTATACAAATGTGGGACATTCTTGTTTGCTTTGTAAAGAACTGTAAGTTTAATAATTAGAATGATGTGTTGGTGAACAGTTGTTGGCTGCATCTGTTACCCCAATAGTTGAGGAATGGGAGGGTTTTAAGTGCTGGAGGGGCCTGCACATCTAACAGTCTTGTATGAGTGTGTTAGATAGGGTGAGCAGAGACAAGTTGGTTTTATGATTTGACGTGTTATTGCAGTGTGAGCAAGGTAACATTTATGAAGGGATTCAGAAAAACTGGTTAGTCAGATATAAGCCCTGGAGGCAGAAAGTACAGTGCCTGTACTTTGAAGGAGGGGTGGGGATGTTATGGTACTGGAGGCAAAAAGTACAGTGCCAGCACTCTGAAGGAGGGGTGGGGGATGTTGCACTATGTAGAATCAACTGAAATGTGATGTTGGCACACTTCTGTCAAGGCAGTGACTGAAGGAAGGATGGTGAGAGTGTTTGTTTTCTTTTTCTGGTCACCTTAGCTTGGTGAGAGATGGCTGATATGAAATTTTTTTTTAGCTAGCAGCAGTACAGTGTGCCATTAGAGAGAAGTAAGAGGAAAGAGCAAAGAGACATTTGTGCAACACTTAGGAATCTTTATTCTGGACTCAAGATTCACAAGTGTTGCACAAGTGTCTCATTTATCACCTTGTCGGTTTTCTAAACTATTTATTCAAAGGAGTGGAGAGACTCACACACAGTTGCGTGTAGCAACGTCCTTGTGAAGTAAGAGTCTGGAGTGAAGGAAGGCCAGAGCCTGCAGCACCTGCACTCCCACACTCACAACCTCACGAGTCACCAACGTGTGGCAACCTTGCAGGAACCTGAACACAAACATTTGATGTAACTGGTAAATAAATTTGTATTAAATGATGAAATGGATTATTATTAGAGACATGGGAAAGCCCTCAACCCACAGGGGTCACACAGTGCCTGGGAAATAAGAGGAAATTAGATTTGGATGAGGAGTGATTCAGCAGCATCAAGGAACCTCAGGAAGGTACAATCAACACTAATGTCAACACTAATTTATACAGTGGTACCTTGACTTATGAGTTTAATTCGTTCCGTGACCGAGCTAGTAACTCAATTTGCTCGTACATATATCAAATCAATTTTCCTCACCGAAGTTAACTGAAATGCCATTAATCCAGTCCAGCCCCAAAAAAAACACCCCAGGGCATTTCAATAAAAACCTGTCCAAGGAGGTTTGTTTCATCCTCCCTTTCAGAATATTTCAGAATGAGTTAAGCAACTGTCATTACGTAGTGCTGATGCACGACCAGTTGCAACTTTTTCTTGGTGTTTCCCTTAAATAAACTCTGAAAGTCTCTCCCAGATTCCCAACATTTCCTTAGTCTCACTTGTAGAGATAACCTCCTCCACATCTGGCTCCTCTATGATACCAATTTCCTGCAAAACCTCTGTATGCTGCTGCGTCTGTAGTTTCTTTAACTCCCCCATCATCAGTTCCTCAGAGTGCTCCTCAATGAGCTCATTCACATCTACTTCATCCACCTCCATGCCCATGGACTTTCTGAGGGACACAATCTCCTCCACCACTGCCACTTCGAGTTCGAATCTTTCGAAGTCCCTTTCGGACACAACCTCAGGCCACCACTTCTTCCACACAGAGATCAAGGTCCTCCTTGTAACACTCTGCCAGGCCATATCTATAATTCTGAGGCATATCATGATGTTATAGTGGTCCTTCCAGAACTCTTGAAGGGTGAAGTTTGTGCTCTCCGTCACCTCAAAGCAGCGGCAGAACAGGTGCTTGGTGAAGAGCTTCTTGAAATTAGAAATCACCTGCTGGTCCATGGACAGCAGGATAGGGGTGGTGTTGGGTGGAAGGTAGAGAACCTTTATAAACTTGAACTCTTCAAAGCTGTTGTCTTCGAGGCTCGGTGAGTGAGCAGGTGCATTGTCCAGGACAAGAAGGGCTTGCAGGGGTAGGTTATTTTCCTGGAGATACTTCTTAACGGCAGGACCAAAAACCAGGTTTATCCACTCCACGAAGAACTGCCTGGTGACCCACGCCTTTGGACTGCCCTCTACATGACCTGCAGTTTTTCTTTTAGAATCTTGTGCGACTTAGAGACTCTGGGGTTTTCCGAATGATATGAGTAGGAGCTTGACCCTGCAGTCGCCACTTGCATTGGCGCACAGTATGAGGGTTAACCTATCCTTCATGGGTTTGGCCTGGCATCATCATCTCTGCATTTATGCAAATCCTCCTTGGCATTTTCTTCCAGAAGAGCCCTGTCTCATCACAGCTGAAGACTTGCTGAGGGACATATCCTAGAGGTAATCCTCAGCTGCCTTCACAGCCAAGCTCCCTGCTTCACCATGCCTGACTACAGAGTGAATGCCAGTCTTCCTTTTAAAATTGCCAAACCAGCCCCGACTGGCTTTATGCAACTCTTTTGATGCCTTGTCCATTGAAGTGCCTGGGGTCTGCTGCAGCAATTCAGTGTAAATGCCTTGTGCCTTTTCACAGAGGATACCCTCTGTCACAGTATTTCCTGCGACAGCTTCTCCATCAACCACATCAACAGCAGCTTCTCCATTTTTTCATGGACAGAGGTCCACAGCTTAGAAATTATTTTAATGCCCTTGGCTGGCGTTACAGCCTTTATCGACTCCTGCTTTAGTATGGTACATATCGTAGAAGTACTATGCTCGTACTGCCTCACCAAGTTGACTACACGCACACCTCGCTCATGTTTTTCTATGATTTCATGCTTTAATTCAATGGACATCATCCTCCTCTTCTTCTCAATACTGTCCTTTGCACTTACTTTCTTAGGACAGATGGTTAGAAAAAAGAAATTTGGCAAAATAACTGCACAAAAAGCACTAAACAAGCACAACATAAGAGAGATGCTTCCACGGTGAGGTAACCGCTGAATGAGTGAAACGCGGGATGCTGGGCAGATGTTGTGGCATTCGCTGTGCCAACTAATGGCGGCGTATCTGAAGCTCACTCATAACTCAGATTTTGGCTTGCAACTCAAAGCAAAAAATTGACTGAATGATGGCTTGTAACTCGGAAAACTTGTAAGTTGGGGCATTCTTAAGTCAAGGTACCACTGTAGCAGTGTGGATGACCCAGTGTAGAAGACCCAGTGTATGAGATTCAGTGTAGGAGACCCAGACAGTGTAGGAGACTCAGTGTAGGAGATCCAGACAGTGTAAGAGACTCAGTGTAGGAGATCCAGACAGTGTATGAGACCCAGACAGTGTAGGAGACCCAGACAGTGTAAGAGACCCAGACAGTGTAGGAGACCTGTGTAAACTGGAGAGGTTTAAAAGCTAATTAAGCAAGATACAATATACCCTGTCAGAAGACTCACTGCTCCACATACAATCACTTCTCTTACATAGCTCATCAATTTGGTACATTTTTATATAAATTAAATTGAAAAAAGTACTTCCAGAATTGAAAAGGGTGTTAAAAGGCATTCAGAGAATGCACTATTCTATTTTCAATGAATTTTCTATGAATTATCAATTCCACTGACTAAAATTTGCACTAAATAGTCAAACTTTATAAGAGAGCTAACTGGGAAACACAACAATCTTGACTGTGTACAAGAGGGAAGCAGAACGAAGGAATATTTCTTGCCTCTTAAGATTGCCTTGCGATGATGCTGGAAATATTATACAAGGAGGAGACTCTGGTGGAGCGACTACGGCCCCGAGTACGGCCAGGAGGTGCTCATGACTCAACCCGGCCAGCATCAAACCCTCGCTCACCACGACTGACCGCTGAACCTCGCTCGACGCGTCTACAAGTAACTCAAATGTATCAGTCAGTCAGTTGTTGCTGCTTATATAGAAAAGTTGATCACTGTGTGTGTCACTACAGTAGATCACTGTGTGTGTCACTACAGCAGATCACTGTGTGTGTTACTACAGTAGATCACTGTGTGTGTTGCTACAGTAGATCATTGTGTGCGTTGCTACAGTAGATCACTGTGTGTGTCACTACAGTAGATCACTGTGTGTGTCACTACAGTAGATCACTGTGTGTGTCACTACAGTAGATCACTGTGTGTCACTACAGTAGATCACTGTTTGTGTCACTACAGTAGATCACTGTGTGTGTCACTACAGTAGATCACTGTGTGTGTCACTACAGTAGATCACTGTGTGTGTGTGTCACTACAGTAAATCACTGTGTATGTCACTACAGTAAATCACTGTGTTATTACAGTAGATCACTGTGTGCTACTACAGTAAATCATTGTGTGTGTTACTACAATAAATCACTGTGTGTGTTACTACAGTAAATCACTGTGTGTTACTACAGTAGATCACCGTCTGTGTTACTACAGTAGATCACTGTGTGTGTGTTACTACAGTAGATCACTGTGTGCGTTACTACAGTAGATCACTGTGTTACTACAGTAGATCACTGTGTGCATTACTACAGTAGATCATTGTGTGTTACTACAGTAGATCACTGTGTGTGTTACTACAGTAGATCACTGTGTTACTACAGTAGATCACTGTGTTACTACAGTAGATCACTGTGTGTGTTACTACAGTAGATCACTGTGTTACTACAGTAGATCACTGTGTGTGTTACTACAGTAGATCACTGTGTGTGTTACTACAGTAGATCACTGTGTGTGTTACTACAGTAGATCACTGTGTGTGTTACTACAGTAGATCACTGTGTGTGTTACTACAGTAGATCACTGTGTGTGTTACTACAGTAGATCACTGTGTGTGTTACTACAGTAGATCACTGTGTGTTACTACAGTAGATCACTGTGTGTGTTACTACAGTAGATCACTGTGTGTGTTACTACAGTAGATCACTGTGTGTGTTACTACAGTTGATCACTGTGTGTCACTACAGTAAATCACTGTGAGTGTTACTTCACTAGATCACTGTGAGTGTTACTATACTAGATCACTGTGAGTGTTACTTCACTAGATCACTGTGAGTGTTACTATACTAGATCACTGTGAGTGTTACTACACTAGATCACTGTGTGTGTTACTACAGTAAATCACTGTGAGTGTTACTTCACTAGATCACTGTGAGTGTTACTATACTAGATCACTGTGAGTGTTACTTCACTAGATCACTGTGAGTGTTACTATACTAGATCACTGTGAGTGTTACTACACTAGATCACTGTGTGTGTCACCAGTCAAGTGCTTACAGTAATACACACAAGGTTGGCCACAGACCTGTTTTTCTATATTTCGAAGTAAATACCAGAGAAATAACAAGTATTGTATCAAGAGGCAGACAGAGTGCCTGTACTCTGAAGGAGGAATGGGCCATGCTGCAGTTCTAAAGGTATGGGGTGACTACTGCCTACAGTATGGGGGACAGTATGGAGTGTCTACTGCCTACAGCATGGGGTGACTACTGCCTACAGTATGGGGGACAGTATGGAGTGTCTACTGCCTACAGCATGGGGTGACTACTGCCTACAGTATTGGGGACAGTATGGAGTGACTACTGCCTACAGTATGGGGTGACTACTGCCCACAGTATGGGGGTGACTACTGCCTATAGGATGGGGTACAGACACCTAATGTAAACTCCCACACTGTAGGTATCCTAACATTGGGAATGCCTAGTGGTACACTATAGTATACACAGAACTAAGTGTACCTAGTGGTATACTACACTATAGTATACACAGAACTAAGTCTACCTATCTGTACACTACACTATGGTATACACAATACTAAGTCTACCTTGTGGTACACTACAGTTAGAGTAGACATGAAGCTGGTATAGAAGTGTACAGTCAGCTCACCTGTGACAGTCTTAACAGTAACTGTGACTGGATGAGGTTGGTCAGTAGAGTGGTAGAGAGCGTGGTAGACACGACCAAAGGTCCCCTCTTGATCTACTTCCAACAACTGTACACAGTCACGGGACACACTCAGACCAGTCAGTTTAGCTGAGATATCACCTGAAAAGTGTTGCCGCTGTAATGTACCACCATGCAAATTATTTCATAACACTTGTTACAGTCCTGGGTTACAAAAAAAATCTCTTTACTAGATGCCTGGAAGCATTCTCTCTCAATCAAATCATTCTTTCAATTATCACACTACTATATACATTTTCCAGTAACTGAATGCAACTGCACTTATATAACTTACTTGGACCATTAACTAATTACACTAATTAATGGTCCAAGTTGGCTTAAAATGTTGTCATAGGTTTTAGTTTCCTAAGTCCAAGTTATTTGTGTATAGATGAGTGTACAGACACTAACAACTTAACTGATCAGTGTACAAATACTAACAACTTAACTGATCAGTGTACAAACATTAACGACTTATCAGTGTACAAATACTAACAACTTAACTGATCAGTGTACAAACGCTAACAACTTAACTGATCAGTGTACAAATACTAACAACTTAACTGATCAGTGTACAAACGCTAACAACTTAACTGATCAGTGTACAAATACTAACAACTTAACTGATCAGTGTACAAAACAATAATGTAGTTTAAGTACTTACTTTGTCTTGGGTCAGTGTACTGAGGTTCGGGACTGCCAGTGGTTGTTGTGGTTGTGGCGGTGGTTGTGTTGGTGGGCTGTGGCGACCGTCGCATCTCACTGAGTGATGAATGAGAGGTTTTCCCAATGCCACCAATGTCAATGTTGCCTCGTTGATTGTTTGGCACATCCTGGCGAACTGCCACACTGCTCTGATTACCACTGGTCGACCTCTGACTACTGCCCGTACGTCTTCTGTAAATAGATTGATCATAGCTTCTGTTTGATGCTTTGATACATTCAATGTATCCAACACCATCACAAGATCAGTAGACACAAAGTAGACAGACACATGGTAGAAAAGGTAGACAAAACCTACACACAAAAATTTGAGCTTGTGTATGTACAGGCAGGACCTGCTTTACAGCACTGTGCTTTACAGCACTGTGCTTTACAGCACTGTGCTTTACAGCACTGTGCTTTACAGCTTTTCACTAATGCAACAGTTTTCAATTATACCTATTCTTCATTTATTCAGACTTCCTACAATATATTCACCACTCACTATAGGCTAAGGATAAAAAAAATTTTCAAGGTAAGTAGTGTGTGTACTGTATATGCACTTTTTAGGCCTAGCTCTATTGCTCACTAAATATATGACAGTGTAAACATGTTATCAGGTTTTTATAGGCATTTGAAAGTAAAAAAAAAAAAAAGTTTCACTTTACAGCGATTTTCGCTTTACAGCAGTAGCCCGGAACCTAACCTGCTGTATAAGCAGGGCCCTCCTGTACAGCAGCAACCCACCTAGTTGTGGAAGATATCCTCTGTGCCTTACTTATCAACCTGTCAATACTTTATACTCTTTTCAGCATACCTGTCAGACACAGCAACACAACGGTATCTTGGTACAGAGGACATCGTCCACAATTTCATCATTTGTTACGAGTGAGATCTTCCACATAACCTTCAAAAGTATTTAAGGCTTCATTTTCATGCTTCAGCTTCATGTTGTTCCAGATTATGGAGCTGAACTCTTCTACAGGCTGAGGGACTGACCACCTCAAACTATTTCCCCAAGACTGATTACATCATCACCTCGCCACTAGTGCTGCTGCTTACAGTACATTCTCCTCTGCATTTGACTGAAGACGCCTACCATGTAGGCATAACATTTCAACAACAGAGATACCCAACCTATTAGTATTTCATTCTATTTTGAACAAACCTCTTCCATGCTGCTACAGGGCTTCATTTATTCACTGTACCACATTGATCATGCTTTCATTACAGGTTTCTAATTGTATAAACTCTAAAAACATAAGAATGAAGAAACACTGAAGCAGGCCTACTGGCCTATGCTAGGAAGTTCCTTAAAAACGTCGTAAAACATTCTTGAGAGATTCAGTATGATTCACTACTACAGTGCCTCTCCTTAAATCATTGGCACAACCTTAATAATGCACACATGAACAATGGAGACTGACCTGCCAGTAGTTTTGTTACTGTTGATGTGATTAACAATAGCGAGGACGACCACAACTACCAGGAATAGCGCTAAACATGCCAGAGTTATGTATACCACAGTCGTGGAGTGACGAGCCTCCACCATTTCCACTGACACTCCATCTGCCTCCACTTCACTGTCTGAGTAATAAAATTAAAAGAATTATCAATAGGTACAGATGCATCATTTTTGGAGAATAATAAAGGCACAATACCCTGATTGGAACAATACACTAGTTAATGGTCCAAGTCAGACTCAAATATCATCAAAAGTTTCTTTCTCCTACCTGGAGTATACTTGGAGAGGGTATACTTGTGGCATATTTGTGTAATGTTTTTGCTTCAGCAATTACATCTCTGAGGTAGTGCTTTATTTAAACTGAAAGCCAAAACATACACTGTCTTAAATCTAAGATATCAATGAATAAAAGGTTATATGAGGGAATGATAACCTGGGGAAGTCTACTGCCTGGGATATTGCAGTGGAAGATTTAATGTATGTAGTGTGAACAGTGGTGTTTCCCTGTGATGCTGCAGTATGAAAAATGTTGTGTGAACTATCAATATTATCCCCAAACCCTCACACTCCTATAAGGTACTCTGTTAGTCTCTTTGGATAAATACTTCCTCACCCATTAAAGTAGAAAATGAGAAAAAGGAAAAAATGGGTAAGATGTTTAAAAGCCAAGAGAAGACAACATAGTTCAAGTGTAACACACACAAGTCATAGTCCCAAGATGATGCCCAAAATGGTGCCCAAGATGGTGCCCAAGATGATGCCTAAGATGGTACCCAAGATGATTCCCAAGATGGTGCCCAAGACAGTGCCCAAGGAGATGGAAATAAATTTTTTTACACACAAACACTATAAACTATTAACATCAGTTTTAATAAAACAGTTGTGTAGCCAAGAGAGTAAAGCCAAACTTACCTCTGAGGCAGATCTTCTTGCGAAGGATGGCTAGTGTTGTGATGTCTGCCAGTGAGGTGTTCATGGGCACCTGCAGTGTTATTGTCACATCTACCTGTGGTGGGTGGAAAGCATCTGTGTCTTATTTATAGTGTTTCATGGTCATCCTAACTCGGTGAGAGACAGTCATTTTGTAAAAAAAATAAATAAATAGAGCGGAGAAGAATCCTTCTTCAGTAAGCCATGCGTACCGTAAGAGGTGACTAAAATGCCAGAAGGAAGGGGCTAGTAACCCCTTCTTCTGAATAAACCACCAAATGTAAAAAGAAGAAAACTTTATATTTCTTCTTTTTGGGTCACCTTGCCTTGATGGTAGATGGTCAGCGTGTTAAAAAAAAATACACCAACTGTATATATATTTCAATTTATATCTTAACACAACGAGCACCTCCCCCCAAGGTAAGGTAACCCCAAAATGAAGAAACACATTTACTGCTACTCATTCTATCGGTGTTTTACCAAAAGCATGTCGATATCACACTTCAGATGACCCTCAAACTGCAACATGTTTACTGTGTTATAAAAAAAAATGTGCATATATTACTCTAAAAGAAATAACAAGAATCAATTCACAATTAACCCACAATTTGACACTCATATCAGTATAATAGATGCATTTTAACTCTTCCAGAGAGAATCAACAAACACAATCTGCATGTGGAAAAACTAGTTTTTTGTTCTAGAGGAAACTAGACGACCTGAACTGTTAACACATGGGATGGGGGTACTAGGAAGGAGAGGAGGTTAGAAAGGGGGTGACATGCTCAGTTAGTTCTTCCATCAATGAGTGCCTGTTGAGGAAGCTGTGTTGCCAAGCCTTTAACTTAAACCTTGACTGCAAAGATAATTAGTGTAAGCACCTAGCCTAAGGTTACTTCAGACAGTTGTTTGACTTAGAATATAGGTATAAGAAGCATAAGGTACAGCTACTGCCTCACCAGTGTAGACCTTCATGTGGAAAAAATGTTGGTTGTGTTCCTATGTAGAATGAGGCATGCAATTATGCCAGCACAGTTAATTACAGGACCATAAGTTCTATCATAAAGACTAAGTGACTCAAGTAATCAGGTGTGGTTATGAATCCTCTGGAAGGCACTGGAATAAGGAATCACTACAATCATGGATACATCAGGAGGTGCCTTACATAAACCCACAACACACTGAGTCCCTCTACCCTCATCTCTCCAGGAAAGTCAGAAATGTATCTTAACAATGTTAGGATATTGCACAATTCTGTAACACTGGTATTTTTAACTTGCTTGCATCATGGGGCTAGCAGAAGGGTCTTGTGTCTCCGGTAGGCCATAATGAGATACATCAATCAGTCTACACACTGGTAAGTATACTTGAGTACATCTATTCAAACTTCAGATAGTTGTGAGAGGTCAATCTGTTAAGTTATGCTGGATGTGAAATGGCTAGCACTTAGCACAGATTCTGTCTGACATGATAATTCATTAGTGTCAGCCATGTAAAGACCTGCATTCAACACTGTATGATTGCAAACAAACACTATATGATTGCAAACCAACCATACCACAGGCAGGTATGATTGCAAACAAACCATAGATAGGGATAGAACCTGCGGGTTCTATCCCTGCCTGTGGTATGGTTTGTTTTCAATCATGTTATTATGATTTCGTGAGTCATAACTGCATATCACATTTGTTCAGTATGGACAAATGTGCATGTGTGTTCTTGCATTTCTCAGGGTGCAGAAACATATCTGCTTACTGTACAGGTTATAATGGGCTCAAATTTTGTGACTCTGCTATATAAGTCATGGATCTGTTTCCATCATAATCAGAAATTACAATTTCAAGTTTCATTTTAGGACCACATTAAGACTTTTTAAGGCTATGAGAAGAGAAATTTTTGAGATATTGTCCAGGAATAAAGTGGAGGTAAAAAATAATAAGAAATATTTTTACTGAGAATGTTAGTAAACCTGATGGGACACCACAGGTCACTTGCATGTAGTCTTTTCCTGAGATCATCACCACTGTAGCCTGGTCCTAGACCAGGCCTCCTGGTTGCTGGTCCAGTCAGTCAGGATGTTGGTGCCAGCCACCCACTGTCCAATGTGTGCACCAATACCAGGCTGATCAAGAACCGATTTAAAGGAATTTATAGAATTCCCTCTTAAAGACAGACAGGTTCTATTGGTAACCTCACTTAAGCATGAAGGGAAGGTGTTAAAGAGTCAAGGTCCCTTTACACTCTTCCAGTTTATTCATCACTCCCTGCTGTTCGACAGAAGCATCTTGCACCAGCTGCCAAGCCTCGTGTTATCAGAGTGTAAATTTGACACTAATCTCTTCAGAATACTCCAGGTGTATATTATGATGCATCTTTCTTGCCTATATTCTAAGGAGTACAGTTTGAGGGACTTCAAGTACTCTCAGTAATGTAGAAGTTTGGCTGAGTTTATATGAGCTGTGAATGTTCTATGTACTATTGTACATTCTTTGGATTTCCAATTTCATCTGCCTTGAAGGGGACAGTTAGTATACTAATACTCTAACTTCCAGAGAACAAGTGACTGGAAGATTGTCTTCATTCACTAGGAATCTCTTTCTTTCAAAGTTCTAGTTATCCAATGTATCATTTTCCTTGCAGGTGCAATAAAAACACTGTTGTCACAAGTATGGTCCTACTACCGTTTGTCCAGAAGCAAAATACTGTAGGGGAAGAAATAAAGCAAAACCACTGGGTAATTCTCTATCAAGAATAGGTAATACAACAGATGGGACACTATGAACATAGATTTCACCTATGGGTAATCTTATCTGCAAACAAACAGTGAGATAAATATAATCATAGCTAAGCACTAAACCCATAAGGGTCATACAGACAGTGAGATAGAGAGAAAGACAATACCTGCGTGGTGAGCTTGCCCGTACAGGCAAGTCTAAGAGTCCAGGCAGCAGGACGTGTGGGTACCAGGCCTCTGTCGCTAATGTTGTACACAGGTTTTGACAAGGCCTCATGGTTGCCAATATGAACATCCAAACTGTATGGCATCTGAAACATATCAATCAGTCTCACAACACCGAAAATATCAGCGCATTCATTGACACCTGGTATTAATTTAATACCTGGGTATCAATTTCATCCTAGGTAGTAGGTTGGTAGACAGCAACTGCCCAGGGAGATACTACTGTCCTGCCAAGCAAGTGTAAAATGGAAGCCTGTAACTGTTTTACATGATGGTAGGATTGCTTGTGTCTTTTTTTCTGTCTCATAAACATGCAAGATTTTAGGTACATCTTGCTACTTTTACTTACACTTAGGTCACACTACACATACATGTACAAGCATATATATACACACCTCTGGTTTTTCTTTTTTTTTTTTTTTACTAATTCTTGCTCTTTTTTATTTCTTCTTATTTCCATGGGGAAGTGGAACAGAATTCTTCCTCCATAAGCCATGCGTGTCATAAGAGGCGACTAAAATGCCAGGAGCAAGGGGGCTAGTAACCCTTCTCCTGTATATATTACTAAATGTAAAAGGAGAACTTTCGTTTTGCCTTTTGAGCCACCCCGCCTCAGTGAGATATGGCCAGTACATTGAAAGAAGCAGATATACTCACTCACTCACTCACTCACTCACTCTCTCTCACACTCTCTCTCTCTCTCTCTCTATACTCACTCACTCACTCACTCTCTCTCTCACACTCTCTCTCTCTCTCTCTCTCACACACACTCTCACTCTCTCTCTCTCTCACTCTCTCTCTCTCTCTCTCTCTCTCTCTCTCTCTCTCTCTCTCTCTCTCTCTCTCTCTCTCTCTCACACTCACTCTCTCTCACACTCACACTCACACTCACACACACACACACACACACACACACACACACACACACACACACACACACACACACACACACCTACCTCTGGGTTTTCTTCTGTTTTCTTACTAGTTCTTGTTCTTGTTTATTCTCTCTTATCTTCATGGGGAAGTGGAACAGAATTCTTCATCCGTTAGCCATGAGTGTCATAAGAGGCAACTAACGTGCCAGGAGCAAGGGGCTAGTAACCCCTTCTGTACACATTACAAAAGTTAAAAAGAGAAGCTTTTGTTTAGCTTTTTGGGTCACCCTGCCTCGGTGGGATACGGCCGGTTTGTTGGAAGAAGTATCAATTTCATATGCCGGTAAACATTTGTTTATCAATACCAGTAAGCAGACCTGGGTAACATATTCTTTCAACAAACCGGCTGTATCCCACCAAGGCAGGGCGGCCCAAAAAGAAAAGCAAAAGCTTCTTTTTTAAACTTTAGTAATGTATACAGGAGAAGAGGTTACCAGTACCTTGCTCCCGGCAAGTTAGTTGCCTCTTATGACATGGCTTACAGAGGAAGAATTCTGTTCCACTTCCCCATGGAGATAAGAGGGAATAAACAAGAACAAGAACTAGTAAGAAAATAGAAGAAACCCCAGGGGGGTGTGTATATATATGTTTGTACATGCATGTGTAGTATGACCAAAGTGTAAGTAGAAGTAGCACGATGTACCTGAAGTCTTGCATGTATATGAGACACAAAAAAAGACACCAGCAATCCTACCATCATGTAAAACAATTACAGACTTCCATTTTACACTTACTTGGCAGGACAGTGGTACCTCCCTGGGTGGATGCTGTCTACCAACCTACTACCTAGGCCAGGTAACATTTATGTGTTACTATTATTTTTCCCTGATCTCAAGTTTATTGCTCTATGTCTGAAAGAAACCTTGTAACTTAGTCTTTGATTGCCTCACAACTTTTATTTCATATTTTCTTATGGCTATTTTTATTCTGTTTTTGACCTCTCTCTCTATTTGTATATTCTCTTTATGGTGACTCTCTCTTCTTTTGAGTCACCTGTAAATGTCTCTTTTTTACTAAAGACATTTTTTAATATACATACTGCTTATCCATGTAAAGTTATCTTTTTTTTTAACTAATTTCCCTGTCAGGACTATGCAAAAGGCTAGATTAAGTCACTAATTTATGCTGCTCCACACTTACAAAGTTCAAAAGTTCAAAAACCACTAAAGCAAGTAAGTTTTATGATTTTCACTATGCAGTTACTTGCATGTGACATGTATGTGACATGTAATCATCCTTTATACTGCCATTTGTACAGGACAATAGGTTCAGGATTAAAAATGACTTGCTAATAAGCTGAAAAAATGGGGAATAAAACTCATTCTAAACTTGGGGTTCTACTGTGTGCAAACTGGGCAGTCTTACCGTTTTTCCATGGAGAGCTTGCCAGCAGAAGGTGAGAGAGTTGACCTGGGGGGGAACCACCACAACATAACCCAAGGCATACTTGTTGACTGTTCCATTATGTACGTACCACAGCTGAGAACTCACACCTGTAAGTCAGTATTATCTGTAGTGCTAGCAATCTTAAGTCTTCCCAGCATGATTACTTCTGGCTCACTCCCATGTCTCTTCAATTCTAGAGTTTTGAAAAAATTCTGTTTTATACTGTTTCAATTCTGATTTACCATTATTCAAGTTTTAGTAGTACCGAAGTCACTGAAATTTGAATTGCACATTTGATTCTAGGGAACAACTTGTATAGACCAGTTGAAAGAGACTTTATAGAGAAATGTTCACATAACATTAGCTTTCAAGTAGATAACTGTAAAGTGAAGCCCTGTAAAAGTTAAGTGCTGCAAAGTGAAGCACTGTAAAGTTAAGTGCTGTAAAGCGGGGCCCTCCTGTATCGTTACTTAGTGCAGTTTGCACAACTCCAATTACCATTACAAAACTTTGACTCTCTGGTATCCTTCAAGATTTTATCCAACACTAGTTACAGCTGATGAGCAAGTTGCACTGCTAGGACTCACCTATTAGCAGGCTACACTGCTAGGACTCACCTAGGAGCAGGCTACACTACTAGGACTCGCCTAGGAGCAGGCTACACTGCTAAGACTTACCTAGGAGCAGGCTGCACTGCTAGGACTCACCTAGGAGCAGGCTGCACTGCTAGGACTCACCTAGGAGCAGGCTGCACTGCTAGGACTCACCTAGGAGCAGGCTACACTACTAGGACCTACCTAGGAGTAGGTTACATTGCTAGGACTCACCGAGAAGCAGGATACATAGCAAGGTTTCATCTAGGAGCAGGGTACACTGCTAGGACTCACCGAGAAGCAGGATACATAGCAAGGTTTCATCTAGGAGCAGGGTACACTGCTAAGACTCACCTAGAAGCAGGTTACACTGCTAGGAACAGGGTACACAGCTAGGACTCACCTAGGAACAGGGTACACAACAAGGACTCACCTAGGAACAGGGTACACAGCTAGGACTCACCTAGGAACAGGGTACACAGCTAGGACTCACCTAGGAACAGGGTACACAGCTAGTACTCACCTAGGAACAGGGTACACAGCTAGGACTCACCTAGGAACAGGATACACAGCTAGGACTCACCTAGGAACAGGGTACACAGCTAGGACTCACCTAGGAACAGGGTAAACAGCTAGGACTCACCTAGGAACAGGGTACACAGCTAGGACTCACCTAGGAACAGGGTACACAGCTAGGACTCACCTAGGAACAGGGTACACAGCTAGGACTCACCTAGGAACAGGGTAAACAGTAGGACTCACCCTAGGAACAGGGTACACAGCTAGGACTCACCTAGGAACAGGGTACACAGCTAGGACTCACCTAGGAACAGGGTACACAGCTAGGACTCACCTAGGAACAGGGTACACAGCTAGGACTCACCTAGGAACAGGGTACACAGCTAGGACTCACCTAGGAACAGGGTACACAGCTAGGACTCACCTAGGAACAGGGTGCACAGCTAGGACTCACCTAGGAACAGGGTGCACAGCTAGGACTCACCTAGGAACAGGGTGCACAGCTAGGACTCACCTAGGAACAGGGTGCACAGCTAGGACTCACCTGAAAAGGAGCTGCTTGGACTCCTAGAGACAGGTACAGCTAGGAAGTTCACCTGGACAGGGTGCCATATGGACCACCAGGCAGGGTACACACCTCATTGATTTACACTCAGGAACGGCTCTCACACGCTAGCACCCCTAGGCAGCACCAGTAACTACTCATAGCGGGACGCTCAGGATCCTCTAGGAACAGGGACAAGCTAGGACTCACCTAGGAACAAAGGGGTACCGCTAGGACTCCCAGAACAGGTACACAGCTAGGACTCACCTAGGAACAGGGTACACAGCTAGGACTCACCTAGGAACAGGGTGCACAGCTAGGACTCACCTAGGAACAGGGTACACAGCTAGGACTCACCTAGGAGCTGCTTGACGTCTTGAGAGTCGACGTACAGGTCTAGGGAAGGTTCAACCTGACGGAGTGTTGCCATTATCACCACCAGCAGGAGCCAACACCTCATTGTTCACACTCCAGGGCTGCTCCTCACACCCAGCACCGCCCAGCAGCACCCAGTAACTCCTCATGCGACGCCCAGGAAGTCGCTCTTAGCAAAATCTTCTCATCACAAGAGATACGCCTCGTCCCAACACAGACGCCATTATTATTTACATCACTCGTCCAGATCCTATAACTCCAAATTACACTAACTGCTTCTCAGTTTGTAACTATTTTCATTTTTATTCTGCATTGAACTACCGTAAAACATAGTTCTTATAATATTTAAGATAGACTATTGCAAAAAAGCGGTCTCATATTTTTTATTAGAGGGATATTTTATTCGAAGTCAAAGTCAATCACACCATCGGACATAATGTTGTAAACAATCAAGAGTTTCTCGTTTTCTGTTGGCAGAAGTTGTTCGATTTTCTATGTATGAATGACCTCATTGTATGTTAAGATAAGATAAGATAAGATATGATAAGATAAGATTTCGTTCGGATTTTTAACCCCGGAGGGTTAGCCACCCAGGATAACCCAAGAAAGTCAGTGCGTCATCGAGGACTGTCTAACTTATTTCCATTGGGGTCCTTAATCTTGTCCCCCAGGATGCGACCCACACCAGTCGACTAACACCCAGGTACCTATTTGCTGCTAGGTGAACAGGACAATAGGTGTAAGGAAACGTGTCGAAATGTTTCCACCCGCCGGGAATCGAACCCGGGCCCTCCGTGTGTGAAGCAGGAGCTTTAGCTACCAGGCCACCGGGCCACCCACCAGGCCACCGGGCCACCCACCAGGCCACCGGGCCACCCACCAGGCCACCGGGCCACCCACCAGGCCACCGGGCCGGTATGATGGGTGAAGGGTAATTAATGGTAGTTACCCTATTGTATGATGGGTAGTTAAAGGTAGTTACCACCATTGTGTGATGGGTGAGGGGCAGCATGGGTTTAGAGCAGGGTGTTCCTGCCTCTCACAACTGTTGGACCATTATAACATGGTCTTGGATGGTCGCTGCTGCTTCTCACAACTATTGGACCACTATAACATGGTCTTGCATGGTCACTTCTGCCTCACGACTATTGGACCACTATAACATGGTCTTGCATGGTCACTCCTGCCTCACAACTACTGGACCACTATAACATGGTCTTGGATGGTAACTCCTGCCTCACAACTACTGGACCACAATGGCATGGTCTTGCATAGTCACTCCTGCCTCACAACTAATGGACCACAATGGCATGGTCTTGTATGGTCACTCTGCCTCACAACTACTGGACTACTATGTCATGGTCTTGCATGGTCATTCTGCCTCACAACTACTGGACCACAATGGCATGGTCTTGCATGGTCACTCTGCCTCACAACTAATGGACCACAATGGCATGGTCTTGCATGGTCACTCCTGCCTCACAGCTAATGGACCACTGTGTCATGGTCTTGCATGGTCACTCCTGCCTCACAACTACTGGACCACAGTGGCATGGTCTTGCATGGTCACTCCTGCCTCACAACTACTGGACCACAATGGCATGGTCTTGTATGGTCACTCCTGCCTCGCAACTACTGGACCACAGTGGCATGGCCTTGGATGGTCACTCCTGCCTCACAACTACTGGACCACTATGACAAGGTCTTGGATGGTCACTCCTGCCTCACAACTACTGGACCACTATGACAAGGTCTTGGATGGTCACTCCTGCCTCACAACTACTGGACCATTATGACAAGGTCTTGGATGGTCATTCCTGCCTCACAACTACTGGACCACTATGACAAGGTCTTGGATGGTAACTCCTGCCTCACAACTACTGGACCACTATGACAAGGTCTTGGATGTGCTGGAGGATAAACAGAATGCAGATGCAGGCTACATAAACTTTGCAAGTGCTCGACAAGGGCGACCATGGTGTAATAGCACAAAATGCGTCCAAAAGGAATAACAGAAAAGATGGGTAGATGGATTTTCAACTTTCTAACCAACAGAACACGAAGACTAACAATAAACAGAGTTAAGTCAGAGGCTGCCACAGTGAGAACTTGTGTTCCACGAGATACATTACTCGTCCCATTCTTCCCATCCTCATATCTAACATAGACAGAGACATAAACCATAGCACTGTATCATCCTTTATGGATGATACTAGAACTAGCATCAGAGTGTCAACCATCAAAAACACAGTGAATCCCCAAGTTGATATATCAAGTCTTCCAGTGGACTGCAGAAAACAATACGATGCTCAGTGGCGACAAATTTCACTTAGTTTTGGAAATTTTGAGAGAGAAAAAATCATAAAAATTGAGTATATAACTAATTCTGACCATTAAGTAGAGCGAGAAACTAATGTGAAGGACCTGGGAGTGATAATGTCAGAGGATCTCACCTTCAAGGATCACAACAATATCACTATCACAACTGCCAGGAAAACGATAAGATGGATAATGAGAACCTTCAAAACAAGGGATGCCAAGCCAATGATGATTCTCTTTAAGTTACTTGTTCACTCTAGGCTGGACTACTGTTATTCCTGTTCATTGCAGGTGAAACTGCAGATCTGAAGAAAGTACAGAGAACTTTCACTGCATATATAAGTTCAGTCAAACACTAAAATTACTGGGAACATTTGAAGTCCCTTGACCTGTACTACTTGGAACGAAGACGAGAAAGATACATCATAATATACATCTGGAAAATCCTAGAGGGATTAGTCCCAAATCTGCACACAGAAATCACTCCTGAAAAAGTCATTGACAACATGCTCATGCACTCAGCCCCAGGCCCAGACTCGTGGAACTCTGTGTTCATTAAGAACTGCAAGAAATTCCTCTCACGTGCCCTAAGTATACTATGGAGAAGGTGCTTGATCATGGGTGAAATTCCACAATCACTTAAAACAACGGATATAGCCCCACTCCATAAAGGTGGCGGCAAAGCATTAGCTAAGAACTATAGAACAAAAGCTCTAACGTCCCATATCATAAAAATCTTTGAAAGAGTGCTAAGAAGCAGGACTGAAAACCACCTGGATTCCCAAAATCTGCACAATCCAGGGCAACATGGATTCAGGGCAGGTCGCTCCTGCCTCTCACAACTACTGGATCACTATGATATGGCCTTGGATGCACTGGAAGAAAATCAGAATGCAGATGTAATATACACAGACTTTGCAAAAGCATTTGACAAATGCGATCATGGTGTAATAGCCCATAAAGTACGTGCTAAAGGAATAACTGGGAAAGTGGGTAGATGGATCTTCAACTTCCTAACAAATCGAACACAAAGAGTAGTGGTCAACAGAGTTAAATCGGAGGCTGCCATAGTGAAAAGCTCTGTTCCACAAGGCACAGTACTCGCCCCCATCTTATTCCTCATCCTTATATCAGACATAGACAGAGATATACATCACAGCACCGCATCATCCTTTGCGGGTGATACTAGGATCTGCATGAGGCTGTCATCTGCTGAGGACGCGGTTAACCTCCAAGAAGATATAAACAAAGTTTTCCAGTGGGCAACGGTAAACAATATGATGTTCAATGAGGACAAATTCCAACTATTTCGCTATGGAAAACTGGAGATAATAACAACTAAAACAGAGTATACTACAAATTCTGGCCATACAATAGAGCGAGAAAATAATGTAAGGGACCTGGGAGTATTAATGCCTGAGGATCTCACTTTCAAGGATCACAACAGTGCCACGATCACAAGTGCAAAGAAAATGATAGGATGGATAATGAGAACGTTCAAAACGAGAGATGCCAAGCCAATGATGATCCTTTTCAAATCACTTGTTCTCTCTAGGCTGGAATACTGCTGTACATTAGCATCTCCATTCAAAGCAGGTGAAATTGCAGATCTAGAGATTTACTGCACGCATAAGTTCTGTCAAGCACCTTAACTACTGGGAACGCTTGGAAGCACTTGACTTGTACTCGTTGGAATGCAGGAGGGAGAGATATATCATAATCTACACTTGGAAAATCCTGGAAGGAATGGTCCCAAATCTGCTCACAGAAATCACTCCCTACGAAAGTAAAAGACTGGGCAGGCGATGCAAAATACCCCCAATTAAAAGTAGGGGCGCCATTAATACACTAAGAGAAAACACCGTAAGTGTCCGGGGCCCAAGACTGTTCAACAGCCTCCCACCAAGTATATGGGGAATTGCCAATAAACCCCTGGCTGCCTTCAAGAGAGAGCTGGACAGATACCTAAAGTCAGTGCCGAATCAGGCGGGCTGTGGTTCGTACATTCGACTGCGTGCGGCCAGCAGTAACAGCCTGGTTGATCAGTCCCTGATCCACCGGGAGGCCTGGTCGTGGACCGGGCCGCGGGGGCGTTGATCCCCGGAATAACCTCCAGGTAGACTTACGACAGCAAGAAGGTCAGCAGAAGATGCAAAATGTTCTTTCCTCCCAGTGAGAGATAAAACACTATCTTTCACTGTAATGGGCCCAAGACTATTCAGCAGCCTCCCACCATACACAATGGAGATTACCAACAGACTCCACGCTGTCTTCAAGAGTGAACTGGATAGGTTCCTAAAATCAGTTCCTGATCAGCTGGGTTGTGGTTAGTACATTCGTCTGCATAACAGCCTGGTTGGTCACCCCTAGATCCACCAGGAGGCCAGGTAAGGGACCAGGCTGAGGGGGCGCTGACCCCCAGAACACCCTCCAGATATACTCCAGGTATAATCCAGGGAGCAACTGAAACCTATCTTCAGTGATCATGATATTGTTGTCTGTGGTCCACTGAACACTTCAGTAACATCTTGAAGACTCACTGTGTCTTCATATATAGAAGTGACTAAAACTGGAGACAGCAGAAGTAATGGTGAGATAGGTATGACATGATGATCACTTCAACAGCCTTTAAGTAGTAGTTTTGAGGTGATCAGTTCCTCAGCCAAGTGTACTCGGCTGAAGCAGTAAGTAGGTACCTGGATGTTAGTCTCCTTACACCTGCTACACCTGTTCACCTAGCAGTACGTAAGTTCCTGAGTATTAGGTGAGTGTTACGGGTCGCATCCTGGACAAGCTGATCAATAAACTCAAATCTAATCTAGTTGTGTTTCTCTTCTTGTTTGGTATTACAAAGGTATCCCAGTATACCATAAACAAGGGATGTTTGATATTAGAAAGGTATCCTAGTATCCCATAAACCAGGGATGTTTGATATAAGAAAGGTATCCTGGTATCCCACAACCCAGGGGTGTTCGATATAAGAAAGGTATTCTGGTATCCCACAACCCAGGGGTGTTTGATATAAGGTATCCTGGTATCCCACAACCCAGGGATGTTTGATATAAGAAAGGTATCCTGGTATCCCACAACCAAGG